CCAAAACTCACATTTCTCATATTTGGCATACAATCGGTGCTCCCGTAAAATCTATAAAACAATCTCAAATTGACCTCGTGCTCCTTCCGAGATCGTGAATACACGAGAATGTCATCCACGAAAACTACCACAAACTGGTCCAAGTAATTGTGAAAGACGCGGTTCATCAAGTCCATAAATGCTGCTGACGCATTAGTCAAGCCAAAAGGCACAACAAGGAATTCATAGTGTCCATACCGTGTACGGAACACTGTCTTTGGGACATCCTCATCCCTAACCCGTAACTGATAGTAGCCTGACCTCAAGTCAATCTTCGAAAAACAACTGGCTCCTCTCAACTGATCAAATCATCTATCCTTGGCAAAGGATACTTATTCTTGATGGTAGCACGATTCAACTTCCGGTAATCAATGCACAACCCCAAAGAACCATCTTTCTTCTTAACAAACAAGACCGGTGCGCCCCCACGGTGACACACTTGGTCGGATGAAACCTTTCATCCTTAAATCATCAAGCTGCCTCTTTAATTCTTCCAATTCAACTGGTGCCATACGATATGGTGCCATAGAAATCAGTGCGGTACCTAGCATTAGCTCAATAGTGAACTCCACTTCTCGGTGTGGAGGCAACTCTGTCAGATCCTCCGGAAATACATCTAGAAAATCACGAACAACCGCAGGATAATTTTCTTCTACAACATCATCTTCTTCGGCTATAAGGTTAGCCAAGAAGTAATCACCACGACTCCATCCACGAACTCCATAAAACGATTAAATGTGGGAATCACTCCGATCTCCCACGAAAAAGAAACAGTCTCCCTTGAGAGTGTAAACTGTAACCCTTCCTCTGTAACAATCAATCATAGCATGAAATGAAGCTAACCAATCCATCCCGAGAATGACATCAAAGTTACTCATCTCTAGGAGGATAAGGTCAAACACAAAAGTCCACCCGGCTATCACAATGGAACAATCTTGCATAACTCGGCTCAATGACACTGAAACCCCAACTGGCGTATCAACATACAACGCCCGATCTATGAAACTGACCTCTAACCCCGATGTAAGTGCAAATGATGATGAAATGAAAGAATGAGATGCACCAGAGTCAAACAAAACACGGGCCCAAGAACCAAACACTGGAAATATACCTCGGAGAACTGACGATCCAGGAGATGCATCAGTCGGTGCAAGTGCAAAAACACGTCCCTGTGGTGCCTGTGCCTGAGAACTGCCAACCTGAACACCTGACTGTTGTACTGACATAGTAGGAGTATCCCTCCTAACTGGCCGTGAACCCTAAGAGGACATGGCAGACTGTGATGGTGGTGGTCTGAAACCTGACTGAACCGTAGCCGACTGTGACGGCCTCTGCTGTGACCCTCTGCCACTACCGGTGTCTGCTCCCTGATTAGCACAATCTCGAATCAAGTGGCCCTACTGGCCATACCCATAACAAACCCTCGGAGCTGAAGAAACTGAAGACGATCTCATAGGACAATTGGACTTGTAATGTCCAGGCTACTGGCACTGAAATCAAACAATTGCACTCCTATCAGATTTAGCTGGTATAGGAGTGGTAGGAGCGGATCGTGCAGACTACTACCCCTAAAACTGAAATAAACCACCCCTGTTCCTTTTCCCTGAAGGTCCCTCTGCAGATGGTCCTACATTCCTCTTTTGTCTCCACTGTTCCCTTCTTGCATCTTTATCTTTGGCCTCCACTTCTAGCATCAATGCTCTTTCCGCTGCCTCAGAATAAACCTTGATGCCCTGTGCTATTAACAATGGCCTTATTTTGTAGTCAAGTCCGAAGATAAACTTCCGAACCTTATCAACTTCATTACTCACCATCTCTGAAGCAAAGTGGGAAAGAGACGTGAACTTGTTCTCGTATTCTGTCACTGACATATTGCCTTGGATAAGGCCAATAAACTGATTCTTTAACTCCCACCTATTGGAGGCACGGAAATACTTTATCTCTTCAATCTTATATTGATTTGTGATCGATTTCCACCAAAACTTAGCATCCTTTGTGAACTTGTAAGTGGCTAGGATGATTTTCAAATGATCCTTCGTCACATCCATAGAAGTCAATTGAGTTTCAACTTGCTCCATGTAGTCATCCGCTACCATGGGATCTGCACCGCCTTCAAACATTACCGGCATCAACTGAGAAAACCCTTTAATAATCTTGAGACGCTTCTGTGCTGGCGTCTCTTCCACTTACACTACAGGTTGTGGTATCGGCTGCGGCTGAGTAGCAATGGTGGCCCTCAAGGCCCTCTGCAACAAGCGATTCAATACTAGTTCCGCCGGACTTTCACCCCCTTCAACGAGTGCTTCCACATTATCCCTCCTTGTAGGAACAACTCTTGGGGCAATTAAATCCCAAAAAAGTGTGTCCTCATCAACTGGTTCCGCCGGATTGGAGCTCGAGCTCTCGCCAACATCACCCCTTGTTGGCCTAGGGCCAACTTCCCTGGGTTCCTCACGCCGTGACATCGTTCTGTAAAACAAATAAAACGATTCAATAACGATAAACTAAAGTCTAACCGTGAACAACTCAACACAAAAGAATGCTATACTAACACTTGGCATGCAAAACTATGCAATGAATACATTAATATAAGCATATAAGCACATAAGCACGTAAGCATGTAAACAAGTAAACAGTTAAGCATGCTTTTTCACATAACAAAACACTTTAACAATTAATCACATAAACTATGCAAATGACTTCCCATGCAACCCCTATGTAGGCCTCTACCCGTCGTCCTAATAGTTTTCGAACCAAGGCTCTGATACCAAATTTGTAACAACCCGACAAGTCCAATAAAATCCTCATTTTAATTTCATTTCAAAACACTTTCCCTTTTCTTTCATGCCCAGTGCTTATGTGCATATATGGAAATGGAGAGAATTTTTAACACACAATTAACAAGCTTTCACATAAATTTCTAACAAATTAATTGGCATGGAAAACTAACACATTAAGCATGTTTTTATTTTATTTTATTTCATTTTATTATTATTATTTTCGTACAATTCAATTAAATACACCTTATAATTCAATTAAATACACCTTCTCACATATTTTATATATACAATCAAGTCACTTTAAGGAATAATTATCACAATATAGCATGCTAGAATACTAATAGGATACTAATCAAGAAAAATTAATTCACAAAGGAACAATCATCACAATTTAGCATGCTAGGACACTAATCAAGAACAATTAATTCACAAAGGAACAAAATTGTAGGAATTAGAGACCCCTACCTCTATGTTATGCAAAAACTCCCAATTTGCAACACAAACCCTCAAAATGGGTCAAGATTTTGGGACTCCCTAGGTTGCTTGAAACTGAAATTGCTGGTACACACATGTAGAGCTCGTCGTGCTCTTCGTTTTGCCGCAAACGACACTTAAAAACACTAAGAATTGGGGGAGAAATCAAGCATTGACTTTGGAAAATAAAAAAAACAAAAAAAATGCCGACAGGAAACAGAGACGGGAGAAAGAGAAAGTGAGAAGGCAGAGACCAAATGTAGTCTCACAATCCACTTAAAAGGGGCGTGGGTCCCACATTTTTTTTTCTTTTCTATTCTCTTTTTCTTTTGCTGTTAAAGTACACCACACACACAGAGGAATATATACGCATATGCACTTATACAGACATTACAGATATTTGACCAAATTTGAGGGGGTGTCAGTGAAATTAACCCAAAAATAAAAAATCAATTATTTGAATGTTGTGTTGTGTAAGTGATTAACATATTATTCTTCCTACTGAAGATTCAAAAATATGGAATCTGGCTCGTTGAAATTAAAATTAACTAATTTTTTTTTCAATTTTAATTTTAAGGCACCCCGATCATTAAAAATCAACTATTTGGATGTTGTGTTGTAGCACGTGATGAGCTGTCTTAACAAATGCAGGCACAAGATTATGAAATTCAGTTCATCACAAATGGAAATTATATAATTTCGTCCAATAATTATGGCAAATCATCATATAATTAATTGCCTTTTACCACACATGGTTTAAAGGACAATATAACTTTATGATCATTTTAATTAATAAATGAAGACAGTCAACAGTTAAAATTTGAAGCATCCTTTCAATCAAGAATGATAATTATTCAATGCTAACCAAAAAATAAAATAAAATAAAATAAAATGCACAGAATGACCAAGAACAAAGGCATAATGTTAAATAACTGAGCTAGTCTAGTGTTGAGCCTTTTCCCATACTTATCAGTATCCGGAGGCTGGATTACTGTTCCCCATTTGGAAACCAACCATGCTAACTTCATAAGACTTCAAGTTCAAAATGTTAACTTTATCTAAAAATTATGAAAAAAATAGAATAACGGTAATCACTAAAAACTAGTGAATGCCAAAAATCAGACTAATTCAAATATGTTTAGACTTTTAATAAAAATAACAATTGAAATATTTAAAAACGGAAAAACCTAATTCTGGAGCCCTAAACAGTGGAATTCAGCTAAGAAACCGGGCGAAATTTGATTATTGGGTTAGTTTCAATCGGGAATGGGTCTACTCGAGTAGAAAAAAGTTTCGTTGAATTATATTAGAAATTTTTTGTCCTGCGCCAATTTCCAAGTCTAAAAAAAAATTGCTTATCCTCGTCTAGCAAGAAACTTGTCCAAGTCTAAACTGCTTCGGCCAAGGCCTATGGCCCAATGGTTCTTCCTGTCCTTTCAAAGTGAAGGGTAAAGGGTCTGAAACTCCACGAGTACATTGTGGGGGTTAATTATCAGGAGATGTTTGTGCTCGATCTAGCGAGACACGGTCTAAAAAATGCATCACAAATGGATATTATATGATTTGACTTGAATAATAATTGCAAATCATCGCATTTACAGCACATAATCAAAAGGAAAATATAATTTAAAGACCATAATAATTAATAAATGAAGACTGTCAACTATTAATATTTGAAGCACCCTTACAATTAGGAAGGATAATTATTCAATGCTGAAACAGAAAAATACACAAAATTACGAAGAATAAAGGCATGATCGAAGTGAATAAATATTTGAACTAATATGCTGGTGTTGAGCCTTTTCCCATTCAGACCTTAGGTGCAAGACCAGCCTTGATGCTTTGAATGGTGGCAACATCAGTTTTGAACGACTTAGCCAAAATGGTGTCATCAATGTCAGTGGTGAACACATTGTTAGGAACTGATGCAGTGCCTGCATTAGAACTCCCGAAAGCCGAAATTGCCAAGGCAGCATTTTGGGCATCGGGATTATACTGGAACTGAACAAGTCCCTTGGGGAACACAAACATGTCCCCAGTTGTGAGTGTCTGAGTGAAGAGCTTGTTGGTTGTATCTACAAAGCCCACTTGCAGCGTGCCATCAATGAGGAAGAGTAGCTCCGCTGAGCGAGGATGGGTGTGAGGGGGGTTGACAGTGCCGGATGGGAACTGAAGGACAGCATAAGAAACACTCTGCCCATTCAGAGCCGGGAACTCGGCCATGCTTGCTTTCAGTACCTTAAAGGCTGTTGGTGGGGCTCCCCCAACAAGTACCCTCATGCCTGTGAATGTGAAGAAGTTCCCATCAACATTGCTCACATTTGATGGCACCACGAAGTCGGTGTTAATGTCAGCATCACCGGCCACTGCAATTTGGACAACGGCGAGTGAAGCTCTGCTAGTGGTAGGAAGATTTTAGCGCTTGCCATCTTATAAGCTTATAACTTTGTATGTATGTTCACAAGACAAATGTGAGGATGGTTCTTAGGCTGAGAGGGAGGCACTATTTATAGGGAGTGGAACCTCATAAGTGATCAAATTTGTGTTCTCTGCAGGCCTTGGGTGGACAGCTAAATGTGTAGTTTACAATGTCATTGTTGTCACAGTTGTTTGAATTTTCTTATTTGGCTAGTAAACAATGCCAAAAATCACAAAAATGCGTCAATGTGGAAGCTCCATTTCATTTTGTTCTCCGCGTATTTTGTCCCCCAAAACTTTTAATTGCTAAATTGTTGTACTTATCATACTTTTTTGCAACTCAATATTCATTATTTAGCCAACTGTCCATAATTGCTTAATTAGTCTACGTATAGAATTTCTATATACTACTAAAAAATAGTATTGCGTGATTTTATTATAAAAGTGTCCCGTAAAAAATAAAGTGGAACGGGAGTTACATTCTTGATTTAATTAGTATTGCATGTGTTGGTCGGTTTCTAATTGTATATGTTGCGTACTTGATGTAATGTGTGTTGCACATGCATCAAAAAAAAAACTTATTTTGATACACAATAAGTTACAGTAAGGAAGCTCAATTTATATATCAGTAGTCTCAACACTTAAAAGCTCCACTTATAAATTGCTGAGAGTTTATGTCTTAAATTTGTATTGTGATATTTTTTTAATTTAGAGCTGCAGTGTGTTTAGAAAAGTTATCACAAATTATCACAAAAGAAATTATATCTAACAGTGCGAAAGTTATGAAGGTTTCAACGATACACGCTTTGAATCTACGAAGTATAGGTAAATAGAAATATAATAATATTATTATTAATTATTGAACATTTACAGTTAATGTTGGCAGTCACGGGATCCAGGGACGGATCCGCCAGGGGGGGATAGATATATAATTGAAATATAGAAAAATTAGTGGTAAAAAAATATAAAAAATTAAAAATTAAAAATTCTACACTGTTTCCGTCCCTGACAGGATCAATTGCAGAAACGAATGTAAGATATGGTTTAACGCAATCGGGTCAATATCGGTATAATATTATGAAATTAATTATCACGATTCCGTATCGGCCTCTCCCTCACCTCTTACTCTATTTATAAGTTTTGAATTTTCTCTCCTCTCTGTATCTTCTCTTTCTTTTTCCAACTTTTCTTTTTTGTAATTTATTTTCTCCTCTTTGTCTTGCATTTGCATTGTACTCAAGACCCATATAGTTCAACTTTGAGTAAATTCCACTGACTTCAGTTTCGGCAAATTACACACAGGTAGGTGATTGATCTTTATTACCTACCGGTAGAGTGTTTGACCTTTATTGCGTTGACATTCTCAGAAATTTGGCGTGTGTGCTCAACGACACACCCTGTCATTAATAAAAATTAAAAAATGATTAAGTTACCCTTTCCTTGTGTTAAAAAATAGCAACAACTTTATATTTTGACATAAAATGACAAAAATAACATGAAATGTCATTGAAATGCAAAATATCATTTTTCATACCGATTTAATATTATTAAATTTTACAAAAATAATAATATTTTTTTTCCTAATGACATTTGATTAGGTTTTTTTTAGAAGTTGATTAGTTTTCTTTTTTATTCAAAAAAAAAAAAAATTTGTTCTAATATAGTGTTTACAAGAAGGGTAAAGAAAGGGTAATAGAGTCTTCTGCTTTGACAATTTTTTATGTATTAAACTATTATTAAATTAGATAAAGGTATGGAAGACATTTCACACTTTTAGGGGAGGTCAAAGTAATAAAGGTCAAACGCTCTATTCTTGTGTAATTTTTCCCAAACTTCAGGGGAAGATAGTGTAATTTACCCTTCTACTTCTTGTGTCTGAGAAGAAGAGATTGTTTGTCTGAGAACTAAAGAAAAAATGACCAAGATGAAGACTTCAAGTTCCTTACAAAAGATGTCGGTTTTGCAATCGAACCGGCCGTTTTTTAGGCAGAACCAACAACTTCAAGTTCCTTACGGAAGAGACCGATTTTGCAATCGAACCGGCCGTTTCTCGGGCAGAACCAGCCAAGATGAAGACTTCAAGTTCCTTACCGGAGATGCCGGTTTTACAATAGAACCAGCCGTTTCTCGGGCAGAACCAACCGGCTCAAGTAACCGGTCATTTCTAAGGTATAATCGGCCAACTCAAGGCCATAATGACTGTTTAGGTCAAAATATCTGCTTGTTCTTCAAGAACCGGCCGATTCTAATTTGATGTTCGATATTCATCAGTATCGGAGGCTGGATTATCGTTACGAACTGAACCATGCTAACAACCTAAGGAAACCTAAAAATAAGTTCAAAATGTAACTTTATCTAAATATTATGAAGCTAATAGAATAAGAAATCTAATCACTAAAAACTAGTGAATGTAAAAAATCAGAGTAATTCAAATCTGTTTAGACTTCTAATATAAAAAAACCCCTAAATATTTAAAAATGAAAAAACCAAATTCTGGAGCCTTAAACAATGAAATTTGGCTGAAAAACTGGGCCACTAACTACAACTAGTGGATTTTGATTATTAGGTTGGTTCCAATATAGAATGGGTCTACTCGAGTCCAAAAAAGTTTGTTGAATTATATCAGAAATATTTAGTACTACCTCAATATCCCTATCTGTCAAAAAATAAAAATAAAAAACTTTGTTAAGTCTGAACTGGTATGACTAAGGCCTATTGTCTAATGGTACTTCCTCTACTTCTAAAGTGATGTACAACTTGATTGCTAGGACAATAATAATAATAATAGTAATTGTTGCATACTTTTGGTATTTTTAGAAATTTATTAACAATAAGCATGGAATTGGCCTATGGATCCAAATTAGAATTAAAATTAATTTTTCTCCGATTCCATTTCTAAAACATCAGTTTCATTTAAGTAATCATCACAAATCAACTCCACGGTCTGCGGATGTTGCGCTCTGGCAAGTGAGTCACCTATCTGACAACTGCAGGCTTAAGAAATGAAGTTCAGTTAAATATTCAGTTCATCACAAATGGATATTATTTGATTTGACTAAATAATAATTGCAAATCATAGTGTCTGTAACTATCCGAATCTAATGGTCTGAATCGCTAACCGGATCCTTACCTGAACCTGAGGTCAACGAAGGACACTGCCGTCCTTTCCTATGTTAATACATAATATACGTGTCATCCCATGATTTATAAAATAATAATAATAGTAGAATAAATAAATAAATAATAAAATGAGATCATAGCTACAAAGAATGTCAAAACAGTCTACTAACCTATCGAACCCTGTGGAGGATCGTCGTTCGCCACTTCCCTTTCGTGTCTTGAAAAAATGTTAAATATAAGGGGTGAGCAAATTGCTCAGTAGATGGTGCCTAAGACACACCTCTTGTGACTCCGTGAATCCATATAAGGAATAGGAAAAAGAACCGGGATCATACTATTTTCGGGAAAATACAATCACAACATCAACAATAATAATCCAAGTCATAAACAAACCATGCCATGCTATGAAATGCAATGTCACTTCCCATTTTCAAAACCTTTTCCGTCATCATTTTCAAACCTTTAATGCAACTCGTCCAATGGTAGCTTCATAGCGGCGCGAAAAAAGGATTGGCTAACTGTCCCTGACCACAAGGCTGTTGGGAAACGTGCAAGTTTTAAAAAAATTTTGAAGGATTTTGATTCATAGATCTTGATTCATCACGTAGAGACAAGTTTTATGTAAAAATAAAATATGATGTATCATTCAAGTAACAGATTGAATACTTATATCAAAGGTTTGAGTAAATCTTTCCTCTAAAGTGAATGTTCTCACTTATTGTAGATCCCTTAGCAAGATGCCTTCTCCTCGGATCTCCATCTTCTTGGTAATTGTTTTGCCTTTAAGAATCACTCATAAGCCTCCATGAATGACCTTGGAAAACTAGGCTTGTGGGAGCCTCCGTTAGATGAGAACATAAACCCTAATTTTCTAGAGAGAGAAAATATATTTATTTTTCCTTCTACTAAAAATCACTCCTAAAATATACATAAACCATGTATATTTATAGGCAACTTAAAGGTAAAGAAAAGAAAACAACTAATCCTTCTCAATCTCTAATTCACATGTCTCAAATCTAATATGATTCCAATATCAAGTTAGGCTATGAGTGAGAATCCATTGGGCCTATTATTTTATTGGCTACAATGAATTAATAATTGGCCCGGTCCATGGACCCAATTCAATTAATTCATAAATTAATTCATACTCCACTAAAAGAAATTAATTGAACTCCAATTAAATAATAAATAACCTCTAAGTCAATATCGCACTTTGACCCCTCTATACATAATTAGTTATCGGATAAATAAAGCCATCAATCCGACTACTAAATTAATATATTTATTTTGGTACCTTCGATTTTTTCTGGCTCGATCACAATAAAACATTTGTTTGACAAAAATAATAATTTAAATAAATATATAATAAATCATTTTGTCTAAAAACACACGAAAACCTTCGAATTTACTTTGTGATCAACCATAATCAATACAAAATAAATACAAGTAACAATGATGCAAATATTGAAAATATAACTGTAATACCCCCTAATTTCGGAACACGGGTTGATCAAGTCCGCGCACAAAATCAGGGGATATCAAACCAATTAAAGTATTTAAATAAGCACGGATTACAAAATGAAATAAAGAATAAAATAAAACGCTGAAGAAATCCAATTAATAGTAAATCCATTAATAACTTCCAAATGGTTACAACTCGGGAATCCCGTAACTCAAGGACCCCTTAACCAAAAGTTACTATTTAGAATTTCAACCAAATAAATACTAATATCAACTGAAACAAAACTAATATCCTACTTTTAAGCAAATAGAAGGAATGGATAAGTCCTCCAGCTGCGGATCCTCAACCTTGAGACTTGACCTTCTAACAACCTGAAAAATAAATCGCGGGTTAAACCCTACGAGCAAGTTCTCTCTACCAAGCCTCTGAAAACCAATAAACAGATCATCTTTACCAAAACCATCCCTAATTAAGCTTTAACTTTAATATACGATGCTACCAATATATATAAATACTTATATATATAGTACAAGAATCCTATCTGTTAATAGGGCATTAAATTGTCAAAACCACTCACCAATAATTAATTATTAGTCATACCTAGACCAAGCCCCCCCTTTTATAATTTTCTCATAAAGTAAACTCCACTCACCTTAACTCCATCCTAAACAGTAATTTAGTCATCTACACATATAGCAATTTAAATATGCACCGGCAAATCAACCATACCATTTATAAGTATATTTATTTATATACTAGCAATTCAACCATGCTTCCTTCAATATATTTACTTTTACAATTAATTAGCAATTCAACCATGCTTCCCATATATGAAATTTATCCATAACCAATAAGGCAGTATATCAAAGCCTTTGGCAACTCATCCATGCCTACAATTCAACCATGTATTAATTTTAAACTTAACTCTAAGTATAATTATACTAGACTTCACATGCATATAATAAGCATGTCCTTAATTTAATAACCGTGTATCTATTACGATTTTAAATCAACCATACCATACACGAATCAAGTCATACCAAACAAGATTTATAATATTTAATAATCTTAAATAATATATATATACACATATATTTTGTAATATATATATATATATATGTGTGTATCATACATTCCATACCAATCGTTGACTATTTAAAATCATATCTACATATATATACACATATATACACCTCCTTTCATTGCAAAAATATTTAATTAATTATATTTATACCACTAAATGCTACTAGGTATCTTAGTAACACTCTGAGGCTCTCAAAATATCAAGAACACACCCTCTAATGATTAATTTTAACCCTAACAAGCTTAAGATAAATACTGGAACTTCACCGGAGTCTCAAGCAACTTTCCAGGACCTCACACGCATCCCCACGCGCCTTCACGCGCCGCCACATAGCCCTAGACTACTCCCACGCGCCTCCACGCGCTTCCCCTTACCGGCAGGCGCGTCCACGCGCCTGCACGCGCCCTCACGCGCCTGTTATACTCTCAGCGCGTGTGTGGCTTGTCCCTATTGGTTACCCTTCTGCGTTCTGGTGCACTTGCTCGCACCAGATCATTTTTAGTTGGCTGGACCATATCTATGGTCCAGATGCTAACGTGTACCAGCCCATCATGTGCCGCGAAGCACTGAATCAACCGCCCTTCCATCAACTCTTCTCAGCCACTGGATTAGTTTTCACACAACCTTATAATATGCCGTACACACTGGATTCATCTTCCTTAGATCGAGCAGCATCCATGGTGCTGATCTGCGGCTCACCATACTACCATGGACCGCGACACACTGGATTTTACGCCTTCAATGATGCATCGATTTGCAAATCCAACCCCAGTATGTTGTTTATACTACAAATCTTTATATATATATAACAGTATATAATAAAACAATTTCTAAAATAACATTCAAAATATAAATTAATTCTAGAAAATTTCCAGAAAATCCTAAAAAAATCCCAAAAGCTTTATTTATTATTTTGGGCATAATTAAACATATATAATTAAATTAAGATCTATTTAATTTAATTCATCATACCACACAAGGTTAAAGCAAACTATAAAAAATTTCAGAAATAAAATTTAATTAACCTAACCCCACATACAATATTTAAATATTCAGAACAATTCATACATATATTCACATGCTTAAATTTATAATTTTGTAAAGAATAAACATGCTGATCTACACTGATTAACAATTTGATTTAATAAGTTAAAATTAAAATTTCGATAATTAAGGTGATAAGCTTATGAGTTCTAAGAGGAGAAGTAGAGAAGAACTCGCCTTTTCCTTTCCAAATCCGGTCTCCTCTTACGTTCTTTGATCCGGCCTCCTCTTCGTTAGCCCTTCTTCTTCTCTCTCTAATTCTCTTATTTTTCTAACGTGGAAAAACTCCTAACCCTAGAGTCCTATGTGTCTATTTATATACATACAAAAACTAAATCCTTTTCCCATTAGGATTATCATATAAAATAAATAATATTTATCTTGTAAATAATATATATACATACATATATTTTACTATAAACATATATATATTACCTTCCATATATAACCATTAGTTAAATAAATTATATATACCTATATATATCAATATATAATTATATTGACATATATACCCCTCCACATGATTTAATAATGAATTAATATACACATGTAATTATATAGGTATCATTATGCAAAGATAATTATTAAATATCCTCACAACCACGGGCCTTTACCAATTAACCCAAAAAGGCTTCCTTCAAGCCCAATACCACATCCGTTGGTCCAACTTCCTTTAATCCCAATACAAATAACTTAAACACCTAAAATAATGAAATTAAATTTAATAGCTACCAATAATTAACAATAAAGGTACACCAACATAAAATCACGCAAATCAAATAAACACTTCACTAACTAGCATTCCACAAATCAAACACCGTATAAATTTAACAAATAAAATTACAAAATATATAATTTAATTAAAACAATACAATTTACCTACGCACTTAATTAAATAAAACAAATCACAACTATCAAGCACCTAATTAAATAAAACAAATCACTTAAAAATAAATATAATATAAATTAATTTAATTAAGAAATCATTTTTACAATATCGGGGTATTACAATAACCCTCTAACTATTAATTACATAACTACCCAAAGTGTCGGTCTAAGGATCCCGAAGAATCCGCCGAACAAATCAAAGTAATTATTAATTAATAAAAGAGTCTATACTTTTCTCATATTTAAGAGTCAAATGTCATGACGGTGATAGAAAGCAATTGCATACGACGGCTCTCGCAATATATCTCAACCTAAAGCGAATCCAGTTCAAGTCTTAATTAATTATGAATCCATCCATAATTACCGACTATGAACCATTTATGATTACTATTTATATTCATGTATTGATCGCCATCACATACATATATAAATATCTTTTATAATCAAGTGGACACTATCAATTCTATAATGAATCGAAACATAATACATTGAATTTACCAATTGTATAAAACATAAATATTTCAGAAACGTCAGGAACTTATGTCACTTTAATCCAAATAGGAATTTGCTATACCAAGGCATATAAATCCCAACAAAGGCAACTCTAGGGCGTCATTTGGGACCAATTAACTCAACCATGCGAGGGCAATCTCCCTAATTCCCTCTAGGTCACATTAACCTCACAGTCCCTAGGCAACTCCTAGGCGGCCAGGTTTTCGCAAACCTTACGTCAAAAACCTTTTTCTCAAAATTATTTTCTTTCCTTTTTAAATCATTTTCCCATTTCTTCCCAATGCTTATGCATGAATGTATCATAAAATTTTATAATTCTACTTTAACAACCTTGCATGCTTAATAAAAAAATTCACACACCACATCCCATACTCACAATTAGTACAATTTTCAACAACAACATATTTAAATTAAGAACATAATCATTTAAGCATGCCTTTGTCATGTCCCTTCAACAAAACAATTATGGAAACCATTTAAGCATGAAATTCACATAACTTATACAATTCAACCTTAATAACTTACATGCTTAATAAGGAATTTTATACAAAACTTAACATGCTTACACTTAGCACAATCTAACAATCACACATTTAAATTAAAAATATAATCATTTAAGCATGTCTATATTATTTTTCATCAACAATCAACATACACATCACTAAATATGAAATATATATGGAATTATAACTCATACACATAACATCAAGACAATTTAGTATGAATTAATCATAATTTTAACATATTATACTACAAATTAAGAGAGATTAATTCACCAAGAATCAAAAGATTGTAGATTAAACACCCCTACCTCCAAAATGAAAAAAATCCTTAATTTCGTGTCCTAATTTCGCAAATTTTAGGATGCACCAAAACTGAAATTGTTTGCACCCACTTAGATCTCGCCGAACTATTCGTTTTGCCGCAAACGGCACTATCAAATTTTTAATGGTGTGGCTTTAATCTAAGCTTTTATGGAAGAAAAATATAAAAAAATAAAAATAAAAAAATGGAGGCCGACGGGGAGAGAGATCGATCCTGCGTGAGAGAGAGATGAAAGAACTGATGGTTTGTAATTGGGTCATTACATATTTGAATTAATGGTGAGTCCCGCCGCTACCTTTTTATTAATGCTTTTTCTCTATCTTTATCATTCCATACACAACAACACAATTTCACTTCACCAGACCAACCCACGTGAAGCCCAAAGAATTGTGGCCAAAAAGTTATTCAAGTGGGACCCATGCAAAAATCCCATTCCCATTCCCATTCCTATCTTCATTTGATAACATAACAAATCTGCTCACCTTTTTAAAATCGGTCAGGTGCACCTCCTTCCATCATCACAGACATTATACATATATATATATATATATATATATAACAAAACAAAAATCAAAGACCCGCCTCCCACATAACCAATTCCAGTCTTTTCTTCTAATTTCGTCTGGCAGTGCAACTCCTTTGCATCACATTTGCACAATATACACACACACACACACACACACACATATACACATACAATTGCATAATAACCAAATCAAATAATCAGTCTCCAATTGATAAACCTTCAATCATAATTAAATATTTAATTATAACAACTAAAAATAATGAAATCAATTAAAATCTTAAAAAAAAATCCGAATTGTCACAGTATCATTGTCTTTAGAAAACATAATTAAAAGGAGAGTATAATTTTATGACCATAATAATAAATATAAATAAAGACTGTCAACTATTAATATATGAAGCATCCTTACAATTAGGAATGATAATTATTCAATGCTGAAACAGAAAAATGAAGAGCATTACAAAGAATAAAGGCTTAATGTGCATTAGCTGAACAAATATGCTAGTGGTGAGCTTATTCCCTTTCAGACCTTAGGTGCAAGACCAGCCTTGATTTTCTGTATGGTGGCAACATCAGTTTTGAAAGACTTAGCCAAAATGATATCATCAATGCCAGGTGTGAACACATTGTTAGGAACTGATGCAGTCCCTGCATTAGAACTACCGAAAGCGGAGATTGCCAAGGCAGCATTTTGGGAATCTGGATTGTACTGGAAGTGGACAAGTCCCTTAGGGAACACAAACATGTCCCCAGTTTTCAGTGTTTGGGTGAAGAGCTTGTTGGTTGTATCGACAACGCCCACTTGCAGCGTGCCAGCAACAAGAAAGAGTAGCTCTGCAGAGCGAGGATGGGTGTGAGGAGGGTTGACAGTGCCAGATGGGAACTGAAGGACAGCATAAGAAACACTCTGCCCATTCAGAGCTGGGAACTCGGCCATGCTTGCTTTCAGAACCTGAAAGGCTGTTGGTGGGGCTCCCCCAACTAGTACCCCCATGCCTGTGAATGTGAAGAAGTTCCCATCAACATTGCTCACATTTGATGGCACCACGAAGTCGGTGTTAATGTCAGCATCACCAGCCACTGCAATTTGGACAACAGCGAGTGAAGCTGCTAGTAGTAGGAAGATTTTAGTACTTGCCATGATTTGCTTTTAGGCTTATAACTTGTATGTTCACAAGACAAATGCCTGAGTTACTGAGCACGGTTCTTAGGCTGAGAGGGAGGCACTATTTATAGGGAGTGGAATCTAAAAAATGATGAAGTTTGTGTTCTCTGCAGGCCTGCTGTGTGACAGCTAAATGTGTAGTTGACAATGTCATTGTTGTCACAGTTTGATTTTTTAATTTGGCTAGTAAACAATGCCAAAATTCATTAAAAAATGCGTCAATGTGGAAGCCCCATTACATTGTGTTCTCCATTTTGTCTCCCAAAACTTTTAATTGCTAAAATGTTGTACTTACACACTTTTTTGTCACTCCATATTCATTACTTAGCCAACAATCCATAATTGCTTAATTAGTCTGTGTACCAAGCTCTAAGTGTCAACTTCCAAGCAATTTCTAAGCTTTGGTTAACGCGTTCACATGGTCGATAACATCAAGTGGCACTTGTTAACCAGTCAGTTGTCCACACGCCATTGAAGAAATTAAAAAAGACAAGCTTTGCGAATATCAAACCATGCCGGTCACTGTATCTGCGCGTTGTCTGATGTTGGGACAAAGCTAAATACGAATGCTATAAATTGATTGTCAAGTTAAAGCAAATCATCAAAAACAGTTTTACACGGTACTAATATTTTCTTCTAATCAAACAGCCAACAATGGCCTCAATATTGTTCAGACATGTTCTGCTGTTCCTTTCAGCAATGGTGGTTGGATCCTGGATGGTCCAAGCATAGTCCCAGGAAACTCCAACAGCATTAACGGTAGTTTCTTCACCTTCACAGGAATGCACGGAATATTTGATGAGCCGGGAGTCCCAGCCCCGCCATACTTTAAGGTAACGAAAGCTAGCATGGCAGAGTTCCCGGCTCTGAATGGGCAGAGTGTCTCACAAGCCGTGCTTCAGTTCCCAGCTGGTGCTGTTAACCCACCTCACAGCCATCCGCGCTCTGCAGATCTTCTTTTCGTCGTGGTAGGTAGTCTTGAAGTGGGATTCGTTGACACCTCGAACAAACTCTTCACTCAAAAGCTCCAAATGGGGGACATGTTTGTGTTCCCTAAAGGACTAATTCACTATCAATACAATGCTGATGGCCAAGTACAAGCCATAGCCATCTCCGCCTTTGGTAGTGCAAATGCCGGGACTGCTGCTCTTCCTGCCACTCTCTTTGCCACTGGCATTGATGATGGAATTCTGGCCAAGTCCTTTAAAACTGATGTTACTACCATTCAGAAGATCAAGGCGGGTCTCGCACCCAAGGCTTAGTTCAAAGCACGGTCCAAAGCATTTTTACCATTATTTCCATTCTCATTTCTCTAATTTACTAGTACTTAATACTAAGAACTATTTATGAATTTTTAATTTTTTCACTAATAATACCTGAAGGAAATGAGAGAGTACGAGTTGTGTGACAATTTGTACATGATCAAATAAAATTCATTTCAATTTATTACTTTTTATGATTAAGCAACTTATATACTTAGATGAAGGTGTGGTGTGAGGTCGAGGACAGAACGAGGCCAATGTTTGATGTCCAGAGCAACAAACAAACTCACATTTATCAGTTGTACTTTTGTTCAATATCACAAAACAGTATAGATCCACAAGCCACCCTAATGAAAAGTTACACCCCAATGTGCACAAAATTAACAGTTTCATCTTTATTGTCTTGGATTGAAACAGAAGTTTCAGTGACTATCCCATACAATTCAACATCGATCAAAATGAATTTGAAGATAAAAAACTACAGAAACCAAAATTAAACAAACTAAACTGAAAAAGCAAATTACAAACTCTGAAACTCTCTCTTAGCTGAATGCAAATGGTAGGATCAAGGCTTCGTCGAGTTGAATAGAGTAACTCTCATCAATCAAGAATAGAAAATAAAACAAAGAAGAAAGACCAGAACACATTAAATATTTGGTTTAGGACAATGCTAGCCGATCCAATGCATCCAAGGGATAGAAATCCTTCAGCTAGCATTCTCGGTTGGATTATTAGGTCTGAGGACCATTCTGAGAATTGTTAACCATTGGTTTATTGATGGCTCTGCATGATGTCCTAATCTCCCCTTGTGTGCCGGTAAGGACTTCAACTGCACCCAACTTGACCATGGCCTGACCAAATCTTGTGGAGAAGTCGAAGCCCCTGGCTATCGTTGCCACTGTGGCATTGGTTAGCGGATCCAATGCCAACTCCTGGTCGATTTGAAGAACCCCTTTAAGCAGCATTATTTGCCGGTAATAAGAGTTGTCAACAATGAGAGAACTAAAAGGGTTCTGGTCCAGATTAGCAGTGCCATCAGATGCTGCATTTTGAGGACACCTGAGTCTCAAAGACATTAGCAGCAAAGGACTCATAGTTGGGTCAGGTTTTCCAGTGTTCTGGAAATTGTAGAGCCGGTCTTTGAAGAGAGAACAGTGTGCTACACCAACAGTGTGACCACCTATGTATTGAAGAGTGACAAAAACTCAAATCAAACAGTTGAAGATTTAATTGTGAGGATGAGTAAAGGAGGCTTATATGAGTAGTACCGAGAAGATAAACCATGTCAATGGCACCGAGTCCTTTCTTGGCAAATGCTGCTATGGAATCCGACACTGAGATTGAAGGAGCCGGGAGGTTCACGTTGCTGGCAAGAGATACAAAGCCATCTTTTCGCCCTGTTTGTACATTGTATCGACCTCCTCCACTCTGATTATATGATGAGTCTCATTTTTAGCACGTTATCATTACATAATACTAACATAGAACCACCCATTACTTTGCTTCACCATTACATATTTTCATAATAATTCAATGCAATGAAGAGAGAAAAAGGATATATTACTGACCAAGAAGACGGTGTCTCTGGTGGCCATGGCGATGATATCAGCGCAAGAGACTACTCCGGGACAGACTGCTTCCACAGCAGCCTTTGCAGCATCAATGAGATCATAGCCCCTCACACTTAGATTAGGAGGTGCAGTTTTCTCACTATTGCTCCCATCTAGTAGAATAGATGCATCACACCCCTTCTCATCATAAGAATGACATGCATTAGTTCATATGCACTGATAACATTTACTACAATGCTATATGAGAATTAATCTTTTTCATGGTACCTACTTGAAAAAGAAAAGAAAAAAAAAATTATTCTACACCTTTATTCAATTAAAGTGATATGATCATATAGAGTAGGTTAAGATGGTCAATGATCTAGGCCAAAAATATTATCCTACAAACCAAAGTAGCGTTAGCCCATATGTTATCATCAAAGAAAGAGGTTAAGTGTTCGAGCCTGCTAAAGAATATATTGTAGGTGCATGTGTGTTCGTTTGAACTTTCAAAAAGAAAAAAGAAAAAAGCGTACGAAAGTTTCTTACGTTGACAAAGCAATCATGGAATTGCATGCGTAGGAGGGCGGCCACGATGGTCGGGTCCTTGATGAACCTTGCCAAAATAACACGGCCTACAAGAGCCTCGACATCGGCAGTCCTACATTTGCCCTTGTAGAACCCAACTTGCAGTTGGCCATAGCACTGGTCTGAGAGGTTCAAGAAGATGAGTCCAAGGACTAGAGCCACTGCAGCTGTTTTCGACATTTTCAAGTACTTCTCTTTTTATCGAATATTGAACATGGAAGAGCTCAAATCTTTGTCTCTTATTTATAAGGAAAAATGAAGTGAGGAGTTGAAAATAATGATGTTCAGAAACATCTGTAATTGGGGTTCATTCTACCTACTGTAAGAGGTTGTCATGGAACGTGCACTCATGTCTCTTGCACGTTGAAGTCATTGTACCACGGTAGTGCAGGATAGAAAGAGACATGCCACAACCAAGCTTCTTGATTTTATTTTTTTAAGTTTGAAAAAAAATAAAAAATAAAAATAAAAAAACTTAATCTAACTAGTCCAAAGTGATTTTTAATAGAAAAATTTTACACACCATATCCAATTACATTTATTGTTTTTTGGTCAAGCGGGTTTATATTTTACTAAAGCATGATATTTAGACCGAACACATTAGCAGAATAATGAAACCAAAATATTTTTGCAACCATTACATGCATAGCTTTAGCAATTCCAAATTTATTTCCACCCAATTCAATGCTTATTTAAAAAATTATGTTATTTCAAACGGCAATCTGCAAATTTAAGTACACACAAAAATTTATGTAAGCCCCAAAATAGGGCTCACGAAAACGTTCTTTATAGTCGAGCTATCAGCCATACAACATAATTTAGGAAAACATATCAACCGGAAGCATATTTTCTCAAAATGACCTGATTATAATTAAGAATGTTATAATTTTGATACATCCAACTTGCTTAAGTGATGGAAGTATTTTTAAAAGAACAATTTTTTTATTTGGATTTAAAAAATAAAAAAATAAAAAATAAAAATAAAAAAAACTATAAAATGCTACTATTTTGTTTTAAAATTTTAAGTTAGGATAAAAAAATAGAGTGCTTTTTAATTATTAATATTGGAAGTCGCTCTTAATCCTTCTGGTTCCTCCACCATCAATATTAGAATAAAGTAAACTAACCGTCCTGAGGATTGTTACGGCTATATGAACGTTGACATTTCCTAAATTTGTTGGCAAACTATGAAAAATAATTGAAAAAACAATTATATCATTATATTATATTATATTTTATACAATAAAATTATCATTTTATAAAATTTGACCAACAAATTTGACGGAAAAAAAATACTAAAGAATGTTACTAAGCATACACCCCAAACCTCCAAAAAAAAAAAGTCAAAATAATTAAGGTTGAATAATCTACGTGTAATTTGTCTAATGATGATAAAAAAATACTCCGTAATTTACTGATATTAGAAATACAAAACTAAAAAGGTAGGGACATAAGCGTCATCTCATCAACCTCCTCAGTAGACCAAAGTCCACACGCTTCTTACATCGTCTCTCTCCAACCATCCATTCTATAACCAAGGCCGCCTCTTTTAATTCTGCAATCCAGAAGCAGCCGCAATTTTGATTGGATCTCATGGGTAAAAATGTAAAATGGAGCTGGACCTCCGCCCTAATCGGGGCGGCGTCCGCCACAGCTACGACGGCGATTATCACTTGTAAGCCGAGAGACCCCAAGTTCCACGTAATATCAATCACCCTCACTTCCTTCAAGCCGAACCTTGCTGCTCTCGACGCCGAGGCCGAGCTCATGCTCACCGTACACGTCACCAACCCCAACATCGTCCCCATCCACTACCAGTCCACCGAGATGTCTATCTTCTACGCCGGCTCCCTCATCGGCTCCGCTTGCGTCAGCGCCGGCTCCCAACCAGCGTGCTCCTGCCAGGTCCTCCACCTCCCGGCTAAGCTCAGCGGCCTCGGGCTGGCCCATCACGCCGCCCAGTTCCTCGCCGACCTACGCCGCCGAGAGATGGCTCTGGATGCCACTGTGGATATCGAGGGCGCGGCTAAGGTGTTGTGGTGGGACCACAAGTTTAAGGTCCACGTGGATAGTCACATCGTTGTTGATCCTGTGTTTCTTGATGTGGTAGATCAGGAAAATAAATCGGAGATGGATATTTTAATTGCTTAAGAAATGTATAGTGTATGTGTATTGTATGTTCCCTCCCAAGAATGTGTTATGGTTGAATCAGTAGTACTAATAAAATACTTTGTTATGGTTGAATCAAGAATGTGTATGTGTTATGGTTGATCAATATTTTGTAATGCCAACAATCTCACTGGTTTCACAATCTCTCCTTATCTGACTAATGATGAGATACTTATAAAATAGTAACCAAGTTCACTCCCATAATTTGGAAAAGAAATAAGTACTCTGACTCTAATTTTATCGATTAGATCCATACAAATGATTGGTCAAAAATAAAAAGAAAATGCTCCAATGAGAATTAAAATATTGTTATTTTAATAGAAAAGTACTACTAGTATATAAAATAAAATAAAAATCACCATCTAGTGGTTCTTATTTCATACGAGTAGATCAATACTTTGAATAAAAACTGATGTAATAATTTATACCTATTTATTTGTTCATAACTTCATTGTGTTTATTTGGTTCTAATTTTATCCTTTTCTCCTAAAAATAGGGATAACATATTCATGTCATTACATTAAAATATGTTCATCCTGCATCCATAAAATACAGAAAAACTACCATGTATGATATGGAATTCTATAAATTGGAGATAATTATTTTTGCATCCGGATATAACAGATAGGATAAAACGAAAATTTATAGAATTTATAGAACTGCTATTAAATCAACTATGTTTTATGAAGCGGAGTTTTGTACCATAAAAAAATCCAAAAAAAAAAAAAAAATAAAAAAAAAAAAAAAGGAACAACCCCTTCATGTAAACAGAAGTGAGAGTTAAAATGGATGCAGGGAATGATTAGAATATAAAAAAGTAAAAATAAATAAATAAAAGAACAACCCTTTCATGTAAACATAAGTGAGAAAGTTAAAAGTGGATGTGGAATGATTAGAAGAGATAGAGTCATTAATTAAAGTATAGAGGAAAATTAGGTGTAACACTTATTGGTGAGACAATTCGAGAAAATAACTTAGATGGTTTTGACTTATATATTTAAGATCTATTGATCTGTTAGTAGAAGACTAGTTATAATAGAAATTAAATAAAGAAGGTGGCCAAAATAATAAGGGATGAGGTTATCATCACGGTAGAGAGATTGACAACGATGTAAGTAGAAGAATGAATTGAACCGGCTAATTAGACCAAGTGGAAAACGGATGCCAAATAAATTAAAAGGGAAAGTATATAGGACAATGATTATTGATTAAATCGATTATGTTTTATGGTACAGAATGTGGAAAATGTGGTTGTTAAATTGGATGGTAGGAATAGCTTAGAAATATAGGATTAATAATTGTAGGTGCAAAAATTCAAATAATAATATTGAAAATCAGGCCGGAACGTAGTTCTGTTGATGAGAATTGGATCTCTATTCTTAGGGTCTTGCCCTTTTTCTCTCTCCCTCCTCTCTTGAGGGTCCTGAGCACTTTTTATATAGCAAAAACCTTAATGGATTCCTTTTAAGACTCGTATTGCTTGTCCCTTAAGAATCTTAATTACATCATACTTTCCTTATAACAAGAATTTACATTATTTGGTTTCCATAAATTATAATTCTTCTTCTAATAGAACTATTACTAAAATGAGTTTAGTAATATACTCGTATATGGGCTCGGGTCTCATCATCTCGGACCTTCTTAATGAGTTCAGCCCATTGTGATTAGTTGACCCGCCCCAAACTTCTTGTAGAAGCCCAATATGAAAGTTGTATAGTCTCAATACTTGTGATGGTCCCCTTATATGCTGACGTGTCTTATCTTAATTGGAAGGGGAGATTTTTGCCCCCACAATAATCAAACGATTAGGGGGGAGATTAGGTGCAACACCTATTGACAAGAAAATAAGAGAGAGTAGACTTAAGCGATATGAGCATATTCAACATTTATGTATAGAAGATGAACACATGAGGTGAGGAAGAATGATTTTCATATAAGAGACAAAGAGGATGACCGAATTTAATTGAGTAGAAGATATGACTTACAAGCAATGTTTGTTTGGATGTAAAATATTTTATTTTTTTATTTTATTTATAAATTTTTTTGTGTTAGTTGTCAAAGAAAAAAATATTAGAACTTAAAAATAATAATTTACCCATCAATTTTCAACAAGTTATTTTATACTACCCACCTGATAGACTCTCGACCTCAACCTAGACCTGTCAAACATAAAAAAATAAAAATAAAAAACAATATTTTACCTAACATAAAGGAAAATATTTTTTAAGTAAGATATTTTATATCGAAATAAACGGAGTCATAATGAAAAAAGATTAAATATATATATATATATTCAACAAACATGGCAAATATAGATTGTTCAAATGATAAGAACTTGATTAATATAAGAACTAGAACTTTGTTTATTAATTCATATTTTCATTGAATATAGTTGTAGGTCTTTGTGTTTTGAAAGTTATGCATGAAAATTATACCACCCATTAACTTCATAAATTAGGGTAAGAAATTTAATTAAGGATACGAGATAAAATATTAGGTACTATATATCATTCGAAAGTCAAATAATTATTTTAAGTAGGAAAACAAAAATAGGAAAGAAAAATGAAAACTTTGAAAGGAAAAAAAAAAAAAAAAATTAGACTTTGATTGAAGAAGAAAAAATTAATCTTTTTTTATTTTTAAGGAAATCAAATGAATTTTAAGAGCAAAAAAGAGAAGAAAGAAAACTCTAGGAGATAATTTTAGAAATTTAAATTTTAGCGGGACATTATATAGAAATTTTCTTATAAATTTAAAAATAAAATAAAAAATAACTAAATTTTATACTTGTTTGGTTGGTATAAGCTATAAAGCCAAGAATAATAATAATGATAAAATATAGGAGGTGAATTGACTTATAATAAGAAAGTTTAATGAAATGTAATAGGAGAAAATAATTTATGTAACTGACTCGATCTATATTGAATTAGGATGATGATAATAATAATAATAATAATAATGCCCCCACACACTTTATGGTAGGCAAAAGTTAATAAAAAAATGCTTTTTGGATCAAGCATTTCAGTTAATGCATCCTGGCCATGGAATTTATTAAAAGTGAAACCAACATCGGTTAAAATGTTGGGCAAGCGTGGGCCTCCGTAGCAAAGTACAAAATTCATTTGGAGCCAAACCTCCAGCTAGCACTGGTTAAATTTTAAAACCAAACAAATTAATAGAGAGAACTGAGAGAAGGCTCTCTCGTCTCTGTCTCTCTCCCTCTCCCTCTCTCTCCCCACTGCTCCTTCAACGCCCCATCCAAATCTACATCAATGCCCAACAAAAGCCGGTGCATACCAGCAACACAAAAAATAATATTAGTATAACTTCATGATTCTCACGTTCATCATATTTCATCCAATCCCGCTCTGCCGCCTTCGAATTTTCCCTCTGATTTTTTCTCAAATCACTCTCTCTCTTCCACAAACATCTTTTTTGATTCTTTAATCTCCGAAAAATCTCAAATAATAATTTTCTAATCAGTTTTCACAAAAAAGAAAACGAAACCCTAGTTCGTTTGACAGCCATGACAGAGGTCCTCCACTCCTCACCCTCTTCTTCTTCTTCTTCCCTATCCTTACCTACACCAACACACAATGACGCGTGGTTCGAAACCCAGTCCGTAGATGAAGAAGAGGAGGGGTATTCTAGGGTTAGGGTTAGGGAGTGTGACACAAGGGATGAAGTGAAGGAGACAAACAAAAACGGGGATCAGGAGTTGTCTCTGTTGGCCCTTCTGGTGACCCTCTTCAGGAAGTCCTTTTGGGTTGCTTGCAAGACTGATAGGGAGGAGATTTGTGCTATGGAGATCGGGTGGCCCACTAATGTGCGCCATGTTGCGCACGTTACGTTCGATAGGTTTGATGGGTTCTTGGGTTTGCCTGTTGAGTTTGAGCCTGAAGTGCCCAGGAGGGCCCCTAGTGCCAGGTACATTCACTCTTTGTGGAAATTCTGAATGGGGTTTTGATTTTGATGTTTTATTATGGCTAACCCAATTCTTGAAATGCTGAATTTCTTGCTCTAAATTTTTTTTTTTTTTTTGGCGTTGATTTTTGGAATGTTGATTGATGGATGTTAATCTGATTAGTGGAAATTTCGGAATGTGCTTTACTTTTTTTGATGTTCCAGTCTATTGTGTTGCGCAGTCTTTGAAATTGTGAATGTTTTGTTGCACTTGATTGTTGGGTTTTGTTTACTGATTCATGGGAATGCTGTTGAAAGTTGCTCTTGTTGCAGAGAATTTGGAAAGGATTTTTCTTTTTGATGTTTCAATTTTTTTTTTAAAGTTTTATGGTTTATGCAATATAAAGTTGTTCCTAGTTAAATTCCTAAAAAAAGTTGTAAATGTTGAATGATGCTTATACATTTTAAGGCATTGCATGTGGAAATGCTTTTCGAGGCTCGTGGAAGAATTGATATAGAATTCTGACAATGGGATATGGCATTTGAAAGGCTCGGGCCATAATTCTGCCACTGGAATGCAGAACTGTGCCACTATATTCGACAATTATCTGATTCCAGGATAGACCCATGGGGTTTTTTTTTGTCATTTCTCTGGCAGGCTGATGCAAGCTTATAGATAGTCCAACAAATAGCAAGCTAATAAGTTATTCATTCAATTTTATGGAACCCGCATTAACTTAGTTCATGCAGTCATCAAGATGTATTATATGATGTGTTGCCTTGGAGTTGCAAAAGATTTGTAACCATTCCACATCAGCACTTCACCTTGCTTGTAATTATTCAACTGTTGTACTAGCATATTGCCAACTGTTTTGTGTGAATTTTTATTAACCTTAATTTTTCATTTGTAGTGCTACTGTTTTTGGAGTTTCCACGGAATCCATGCAGTTGTCTTATGACCCTATAGGGAACATTGTCCCAACTATACTTCTCCTGATGCAAAGACAGTTGTATGCTCAAGGTGGCCTACAGGTGCGTCCCCTCCTCACCCAATAAAAAAGAAATAGAAAATTTCTCTCAAATTGAAATGTACTGAAAATCGCGAGATATCATTCATGTAACCCCTGATTGTTTGGTTAAAAGCTTTGTTAATTAGAATCTTGGTTATGTTATAGAGTTCAATGTCCTTATAAATTCTGTTGAACTTCTGAATTCACATGTGCAGGCGGAAGGGATTTTCAGAATCAATGCAGAAAACAGCCAAGAAGAGTGTGTCAGGGATCAATTAAACAGGGGAGTGGTTCCAGAAGGAATTGATGTACACTGTTTGGCGGGTCTTATCAAGGTATATCTTTGCAATACAATCACAGTTCAATTCTTTATGTATTTATTTATTTTAAAGTATATATATCTTCTCTGTCATTACTGACTTAGGGTGTTTGGCTATCTATTTATATTATCAATCAGAGCTCAGCCTTAATTCCTTATTGTTAAATCTTGGCTTCAACAAATTTAAATTCAGCTACAGGGATGTACTAAAGTACTAAACTATGGTTACAATTGTGTATGATATATGAAATTTTTTTTTTTGGGGGGGGGGGGGGGGGGGGCGTGCCTTTTGTTGGTTCTTGATTAGTACAATTCAGTTGCATTTTATGAACCTACATTGTATACTTGTTTCTACCCATTTGTTTCATATCTAATTATAATATGAAAGTGAAGGAAATGTGCAATCCAGTATAAATTAAACCTTGGAATGTATTGCACTTTTTCATTTGATTGGAGAAAATTGTTTATCAATCATTAATAATGATTTTTCCTTTTGGAAAATGTCAATGGGATATCGTGCAGACAGCAAACTAATCCCAAATGATTAGGTGTATTTTATACATCTGGTAACCATCATATGGATTGTTTTTATGCATAAAAGGATCATACCTACCACTTAAAAATTAACATTACTTGATGATACACTTCAGTTTCATTCAAGCATATAATATTGGCGAGATTGAAAAATATACACGTTGGTGCATGTAGATCAAAAAGAAAACAAGAAGTGTATGCTACTTTTCTGTACAAATATAAAAGGTGAAGAGTTCCAAGCCAGCTCAAGGATTTATTACTACATTTGTTGGGCTATCGTTAGTGTTAATTAAGTGTAGCTCGTGATTTGTCTATTCCTGTGACCGAGGCGCTGTTGGAGACAGGATTGCTAATAAGTATGAAAAAGAGGTCCGACAGACCTGAAGAAGAAATTCCAAAGAGCGGGCAACCCAACAAGCAAGATGATTGATTAACATTCCCACACACGAGGAATAGACTAGTGTAGGCAATTCGTCCTACGAATACTGACGCTGATGCAGATTGAACAACCGATGCGCGAAAGAGGCTTTGTCAATGAATTACCCTCTGACTACTATTATTATATAATTATCAGTTGGTGAGATCACTCCTTCGGATCTTGCGGGGGTCCGCTCTTTGGACAAAGAAAAGTCCTGTCGGAAAAGCAGAAAGAAATTTAATTCTGTAAAATATTTCTTATATCTATAATAGTCTGTAGTCTATACAATTTATAAAGTATTATTGTGTGTGTGGTGGAATGCAAAGATTCCTTGGAAAGGCATTTGATGTGTCAACTGCCTTTCCAATCGTCTCTTTCCATTTTACTGCAGCTTTGGTGGGAATATTGACTGTTGATATTCCGGGCTTTGGGGAAAAAAGGTTCCTAAATTGGTTCTAGGTGCATAAGAAAGCAGAGAAGACTGTTAATCAATTATTGATTTAGTATGAGATGGTTAGACTTTGGTGTTTCCTGCTTTCTTTGTTTTTCATTCTCTGGACCATGCTGTGCTTGGTTGTTGATTTATTTGGTTACTAGTAGGAAGGCTGTGGAAAAGAGTTAGGCAAGAATAAGATATAATGACCTTGTGTCTGATGTGGTGTGCTTGGAAGGAAAGAAACTGTCATGACTTTTAGAATGTAGAGTTGCCAGTCTATCTGTAAATTGAAATCTGTTAGTTAAAGCTTCTGCTCCTAGGAAAGTTCACTGACTCTGAGCTTTTCAATGGATGATTGTATTTTTGGTTGCTGTTATATATATTGCATGTGCATTGGTTGCACCCCCTTTTGTATTCTTATATGTATTTACTCTTATTTATATACAGATATATGTGGATGCCGCATGCACTAATAATGCAATCTGTTGCATTTTAGCAACAAATTAGAAACATGGAGAAAAACTTTAGAAGCAAAAGGTCTAAAAATTAGTAAAACTAAAACAGAGTATATGAGAAATTTGATAAAGCAACTGAAGAAGATAATATAAATATTAAAATTCAAGACCAAATATTTACTCAAAATAATTACTTTCGCTATTTGGGTTCAATATTACAAGAAGATGTAGAGATAGATGGTGATATAGTAAGTAGGATTAAAGTAAAATGGACAAAATGGAGGCAAGCTAGTTGCATCTTATGTGGCAAGCGAATCTCAAATAAATAGAAAGAAAAACTCTACAGGACGGTTATTAGGCCAGCTATGTTGTATGGAGAAGTGTGTTGGGCGTTCAAAAAGAAACAAGAACAATCATGTAGCGGAAATGAGGATGCTACAATGGATGATACGAGTAACTATAAGTCTAGAAGAGAGAGGATTAGTAACGAATAGGAGAGGGATAAGCTGGGAGTAGCTCCTATTAGTAATAAAATTAAAGAAAGTAGTCTTAGGTGGTATGGTCATATACAACGTAGAGCGGAAGATGCACCGGTTAGGAGAGGAAGGGTTGTGTGCCTAGAAAATAAGAGACAGAGGACCGCAAAAACTTATATGGGAGGAAGTAGTTAAAAAGGATTTTTAAAAGCTAAATATTGCAAGGGGCATGGTTTGTAATAGGAAGAATGGAAAAAGAGAATTCATGTGGCCAATCCCATTCATATGGGACAAAGGCGATGATGATGATGATGGTGTGGTACAGTAAATTGTTGGAGCAGAATATCATTATTGGCCAGTTATCTAATTGAGGACATCTTATCTTGATTTTAATGAAGACAAAAGGTGTAAATGTGATTGATTTATTTATTTCTATATATTAAGCCTAGTTTCATATTAATCTATTGCAATTCAAATGATAGTAAATAAGCATGACAAAAAGGCTTGATTTTTTTTCCCTCTTCTCAAACTTTGGGAAGTATCTTTGTTGTAGAATCTATGAGCCAAATGCATCAAGATTATGCTTCTTATCTACTGAATCTGGTGCTGAATGTATGGTATGGTCATCAATTCCATGATGCTTGGGAGGAACACTAACTTGTCTTCTTGCAATAGTTACTGTGTGGCGATCAAGTGATTGCCTCTAATAATCCTAGTTACTTATGGATTATTGGTTCACATAGCACACATGACAAGAAGACACTCTTACACCAAATTGCCTTGCGCATTTTTTTTTTTTTTGGTTGTATTATCAAGATTGACACACGTTAAATATTTTAGGAAACAACTTGGGCTTTGATCCCCCAACTATCTGCTTTAAGACATCTCCGATGCATCACTTTTATTAGAATGCCCGTGGTGCATTTTGCATATTTGAAGAAAATGGTTTGCGTACTATTTCAACATAAAGTTTATTTGATTCTGCAGGCTTGGTTCAGAGAACTCCCAACTGGGATATTGGATTCTCTTTCGCCTGAGGAGGTAATGCAGTCCCAGTCAGAAGATGATTGTACTGCACTTGTGAGGCGTTTACCCCCAACAGAAGCTGCTCTATTTAATTGGGCCATCAATCTGATGGCTGATGTTGTCCAATGGGAACATCTGAACAAGATGAATGCACACAACATTGCAACTGTGTTTGCACCGAACATGACACAGGTGAGTTCGAAAAGAATTTTGGTGCCAAGAGACATTATAGCCATAAAAAAAAAAAAAAAAAAAAGAATTAAAAAAAAAAAAATGTAGTTTTCTTTTCTTATTATTAAACAATTATGGCATTTTATATCTCATGGAATTCGAATAATTGCAATGCGTCTCATATAGGGTTTGTAAGGACCATGTCCATTGTATCTAAAAGATCCTATTTTCATTTAACATACCTTTTGAATATGGGCAATTAGTTTCAATTAAGTAAACTATATTCTAGTTGGTACAGTGATAGTGATACTGTATTTTACAGAGCCCATTCATGTTGAATGCTATGTAAGATGCAGTGGATGGACTCAATATTTTGTGTGGTCATCTAAACACCTCAGTGTTATTTTGTGATCGAAGTTTCCTTCTGCAAGTCTTTTTTTAGCCTTTTTTATTCAATCTTTATTGTAATCCAGAATGGTAAATGAGGTTTTTCCACCAATTGCATCTCTTGCATATCTTGACAGAGTGGGTTATAAATTCTTGCTGTACTTCTTTATTAATTAATCTATGTTTGTTTTCCCTTCTTTTTTTTAAATAAATAAAACACTTTCTAAAATCTTGTTTTTGTATAAGAAAAGGGGTCATAAAAGAAGGATCCGTTTTTACATCTTAAACCAATACACTGAACGGCATCTTAAGTACTTTGCAAGTTATCTAAACGTAGACGACAATATGTGGAGGACATACATAGTACGAACAGCGGAATTCTACTTTAAACCAGATTTTTTCTTTCCTCTCTAAACATTGACCTAGGGCTTGGGAGTTAAGACCAAAACCACCTATGAAGCAGCCATACCAGTGTTGGACACGCGCGTCTGATGCTCCTCACCGGTGTCCAATTTTTTATTTTAAAATTTAATACATTGGACACGCTGCTGACACCGCTGCGACATGCTGGAGGACTTTAGTTTTTAAAATATAGAGGAAGAAGATGGAGGAGGAGCCAGATCTAATCAGTAAGTAGAAGATTGGTTTTGATAGTTCATGTGGGTATATGAAAAGTGATGGAATAAAGAATGAAGAGCAAAAAAGAATCACTGATCAGATCTGAAAAGTGATGAAAGGGATGAAATAGAGAGATGGAGGGCGGAGGGAGAAGTGGGCGGAAGTGAGGGAGCAATGGAGCATAGAGATGGTGTAGAAACAGAGTAAGAGAGAGAAGGATTCCATTTTATCTTCTTTTGCGGATTGTTTGGCCACACATCTTACATGCCAAGATTGTGTTTGGCCACAAAGATTGTGTGTTGGGCTTCCTTATCTTCTTTTGTAGATTATATAAATATATTTATGTATTATAATGAAATTTGGGCACTAGGCCTAAGTTAAATGACTTATCTGTATTAATGTGTGTGTGTGTGTGTGTATTAATTGAGCAAAATTTTATTTTTTATATATATAATAAAAAATTATATTATTATTTTATTGCCGTAACCATGCCGTGTCCGTGTCCTATTTTTTAAAAATTTGCCATATCGTACCCGTGTCCGTGCTTCTTAGAAAACCACCATGAGAAAGGTATACCGGTACTTTAAACCAGATTAAACGAATGGGATTCACCAAACTGATTTTGTCAAATGATTTTCAACTGTTCATGGCATATATTCTGCTTGACTCTGGAGAAAATATGGCAGCAGTGCAGATGCAGATCTACCCAATGGTTGGTTTGTTGACAGTTTTTTATGGCTTGTTTATTGATTGCAGATGGCTGATCCATTGACTGCACTGATGTATGCAGTTCGAGTGATGAACTTCCTCAAGACACTCATTGTGAAGACACTACGAGAAAGAGAAGATTCCATGATAGAACCAGCTGCTTCCTGCCCAGAGCCTTCTGATGAGAATGGACACCAGAGTCCTTCACAGCGCTGTGTAGAAAATACTGCGCAAGAAAATGAAGAGACAGAGCTGGTCTTTATTGCTGAAGAACCTGTTCCAGAAAATGATTCTGACTCGAATGAACTTGATTGCATAACTGATGGTGAAGCTTATAGTGATTCGACTTCTGTTGAGGAACCATATGGAGATTGTGATTCTTGTTTGCAAGTTGAAACCACCATTTATGAAACAGAAGCAGCAGGTACGGTTGATGGTCCAAAAACTAGGGTTCAGGAGGACATCAGTGTGAGCAAAATCGGCCCATCAAGTAATCCAAATCTTAGCACAGGTGCTGGAAAAATTAAGGGGCAGCAACCTGTAGATCTGGTAGTCGGACCAGTTAAAAAGAGCAAAGAAATGAGCAATTTAAGCCGTATAAACTTAAGTACAGAGCGAATTGAAGCATGGTGTTGAAGGACGGCCCTGATTGATTCTACCACAAGGTGACAAAGCAGATCCCGTTTGATTTGGAAATTGTGAAAAGTCTTTTCTTTATTTCAATGTTGTTTTCTTTAACCTGTTAATGTTGTGACATTTCCATGGTACCAAACACTTTTAACAATCTGTTTTCGGAAAATACACGCCCAACTTGTTTTCGTGCGTTTTATTTTTACCCCACAATCTATGAAATATCATCTCCCATAACCTATATATGATATGAACGACTGCTTTTTTTTTTGAAGTGGAGCCTAGCATATACATGCACTGTTGTGGAGATTGTAGGAAGATGCGTCTTTCTTATTTTTCAGAGAATTGCCAATGGTGGTAGTATATGTATGTACCTTCCTATCCATGAGGACCACATAGTTAGCTATATGATTTTTTTTTTGATGCAGTACCACACACCATCACAGCAATGGAGTCCTGTGGCTAGAATGTTACTAGCTACTTTCCAGGAAAGTGCACATCAGATGTTACTTTATATCAAAATTTGATAATCAATTGGTAATGATAAATAGCTTCCAATCATTTTCCCAGAAAAGACTGGACAACAAAAAAAGGATCAGATTAGAATATCCTTGCGTCTCTGGCATTGACAGGTACAGGAGTGGAAGCCAAAATTGTGAATATCCTTAAAATAGGCACTGTCAATCCTCACTCATTGAGTAAACCCTAATTTCGGATGCAGACAAATTAAATTAAGATCAAATTTCACGCGAAATTGACCCGTAATAGTCTGAATGAGGAAGGAAATTTGGAGTTGCCAATATTTGATATTTATGCAGCACCATAGAAAAAGGGTTTGTGAAACCCTAATAAAGTCATAGAGGCCACGAGCAACTAGAAAAGGGTGGGCATTGCTTTCTGTGAGGTTGTGGGTGTGAAACATATCTTTTGTTGATAAGAGATTGTTGTGTGGGTTTGTGCCATCTTTTTACATGATGACTAAAAGATAAAGCTATATATATGCACTAAAAATAATGACCACCAAAATTGATAGCAAGATTTGTAACCACCCATCATCTTATTCACACTTCCCAACTGAGAGAAATTACACAAACAGAACTCCATCCCCTATTAAATAGCAACTTCCCTTGACTTTATCACCAATCCATGCCGATCTCGTGTATCTCATCCTCCTCAGCCTCTCTCTCCTCTTTCTCTCTCTAAAACACCTGTTTTTGCCTCCTTTTTTTCTTTTTCTTTTTCTTTTTTTTTTTTTTTTTTTTTTTTTTTTTTTCCTTTTCTTTTTGTGTGTTCCAACAATATCATCATCATCGTCATCCAACAAAATACAGGAGAGCCAGCCAAGCCATGGCAGCCTGTGGAAGCCTTCAACACATCTTTGAGAAACCATTGCCCGAGAATCCAACACTTCTTGATTCTCTCACATCATGGAATCAGATTAAATCTATGAAACCCCTTGAAGACTCTTCTTTTACAGAGATCTTTGGTGAACTGCATTTCAAAGAAAAACCACACTCTTCCTCTTCATCCTCCTCTTCCCTTCCTCTTTCCTCTCCATCATTCCTCATAGATTTCAACCCGCAACCAAACGGACTCGAAAACCTCCTCAAGAACAATCATAACAACAACAACAACAATGGAGGGAACAAGAGTCCATCATTTGATTATTCTCCAACAACCCATCAAAAACAATACCTGGGGTCTCCCAGGAACATCAACAGCTATTCATCCATGAATTCGGAGAGTTTGCAGCTATGCACGGAAGGTCTCGGGTTCGAGAGCTCTGGTGATGTTGAGGACTTGAAGAGTGACGTGAATGATGATTGGCTTAATCAAGAGGAGAGAAGAGCCACCACCACCACCACCAAGCATACGCCGCCACCGCCGCCATCCGAATATTTGTGTGGAGAGTTGAGGAGGTCAAGGATGAGTGGAGGAGCATTTCCTCCACCTATTTCTTGTATTGGCAAGACCGGGAAGCCTTGGGTGTGCTTCAAGTCTTATCGGCAAGAGGGCCGGTTCGTGCTCAAGGAGGTAAGGATCCCGACACAGGAGTTCCTGCATGCATGCCGGGAAGATGGCCGGTTGAAGCTGCGGTTCGTGCATTCGGACGATGAGATTCTTGAAGATAAGGAGGAAGAAGACGAAGAAGAGCAAGATGAGGAACAAAGAAATGAAGAAATAGATGGTGGTAGTATTGACGAGGATTATAGGGAAAGTGGGAAGAAGGAAAATGAGATTGTTGAGATCAATAGAGGTGTGACGTTGGAGGCAACTCTTGACAAATAGAATGGAAGAAGAAAAAAAAATCAGGGTTTGATTGATTTTGCATGCCTGAGTTGCAAAAAGATTTCAAGTTCTTGTTTTCATTTTCCAATTAGAAAATAGTTTAAAAAAAAAAAAAAAAAAAAAAAGGGAGAAGAATTTGACTCTGATGTTTTAGAACAATCTCAAATAATTAAGAACACTTCCAAATAATTTCTTTCGTTTTGCCAAGTAGTTTTAGAGCAGATTAAATTTATAGTATTTACAAAGCATTGTCTTCTTGTGCCTTTTAATAGTGCTGGGTAGGGTTTTCACCCTTTTCGTTTTTGTGGTCTCTTTTTTATTTTTCCTTTTTGCTCCTTTTTCACTTTTTAAACCATTTGGCATTAAATTCACTTTCTTTTATGAAATCCAAATAAAAGAAAGCATTGGCATTCCACGGGAATATGGAAATTCAATCTTTTTGAGAATTTCCACATTTTTAATTTTCTGTTTCTCAGCATTTTAATCGGTTAACCTAGGCATTTCAATCGGTCACGCCCCAACTTTCTATGGGAACTTGAATCAACGAGTCATCAACCTTATACATCGAAAAGTGTGAGTTTTTTACATTATTCAGTCACCCTAAATCTAACAAGTTGATATACCTTGAGTAATTTCTTCTTCTTCTTCTTCTTCTTTCTTCTTCTTCTTCTTCTTTTTCTTTTTTTATCCTTCTATATCAGTTCTTCACAAAACAAAAGATGAACCAACCTCAAGCACACCATGAATGTTCTTTGAGTCGATGCATTTTGCATACCCACTAGTTTGTTGTGTGCCACTGTGACCCATGTTGAGGTGAAAATGCTTATGTTATGTGTGTCTGAATGTGTGTGTCGCATGGCCTATGCTCTAATGACAATGCTTCAAGTGTTGCCATCAACTAACAATAAGGGTACCATGGTCTTAGAAATGAGCATGAAACTGAAAACCTGGTTGCCATGTCTGCTGCTCGAATATGTAAATAGACCTAGATGGTTTAGACACATGCATTCGTGTGTAATACAAAAGAATGGAGACAAAGAATTCATGTTACCGACTCCATTCATATAGGATTAAGAGGATGATGATGAGGACAACAGTAATTGTTATGATTCATGAAGAGCATGAAATAATTAAAAAGTAAAAACAGATGGGAAATGAAGGGTTGTTCCGTCAATCAAGCACAAATTCAGCTGGGATACATCATGCCGATGCTGATGATGACGACCACCATGAGACACCTTTCAGGAATTCCTAATTCCTAGGAAGTAATTAGGGTTTGAAAAATGCACAAAAAGAAATGAAACTGAAGTTGACACTGGAATGTTTTTACCCTGGCATTGAGAAAAAAGAGCCAATAAGTGAACAATACTGGAAAAACACACATCAGTAAACACAATCCAAATCATGATGTGCAGCAGGGGAGGACCTTTTTATCCAATGAGAAAGAACTAATAGCTCCAGCCTTTGGCTCATTAGATGTGGCCCAAAAAGCACACATGTAAATAGTCGAAAACACAGTCATGGTGGTCCTGATCTACCCATTTGTCGTCAAATAGAAGAAAAAGACAATTTAAAAATCATTAAATGGGAGTAAATTAAACTGAAGTTCAAAAAACCACTCAAAATTCAAGAAGACGAATAAATTTTGTTCCAGACTAAAAGCTTTGCTAGGACGTCCTATAACATAGATGAGGAAATATACCTACCAAGCTAAAATAAGAAAAGTAGGCATAACAGGATGGACCAACACAGAGACTAAAGAACCCTTGATTCTGGTCAATAAAAGATTCTTCGATTTGCAGCTGTATCACATGAAAAGCACCACCACAAAACAATGACAGATACTTTTGTATAGATACTTCTACTAAATCAGTAAATCATAATCTTACGGACGAAAAAAGAAGAATTCTCTACCAGACACATGGCAAGACAGTTCCCAAATCTTCTAAAGATCAGAAACTTCCTATTACCTTCACCAGTATATTGAATGTGCTAAAAACTCTACGTGTTGCAATCTGAGGCCACAGTGCTTTCATGTGGCTCTCCCAATCCCCAAGATTGCATGCCAACCACTTCATGTGGTTCATCTGCTAGGTGGAAGGTATCAGTGAGTATATCCATGGTATCAAGTACTGTAACCATATATACAAATTTTTAAATCATAAATTGCAACTCTATGCTAACGGTATTTTTTTCTTAATTGTTTCATCTTATGAATCCTACCTGGTGGACGAGCACAAAATATCTGTACTATAAATCTTCAAGATGCTGAATAAAAAAGAAAGAAAAAGGAATCTAACACACTAACTGAACTGCACATCAAATATCTACAACAATTGCATGCAAAGTGCAAACAAAATCATCATCATCATCATCGTGTGGATGGAATCGGCCACGTGAATTCTCTTTTTCCATTATTTTCTATTCTATACCATGTCTTCTCTTAGATTTAATTTTTTTAGTCATTATTTATTATTTCACTTATCAAAAAAAAAAAAAAAATTTATTTCATCCCATGTAAGTTTTGGTTGTAGTCTGCATCTTTGTCGCTTACCTTCTAGGCAAACTACTTTCCCACTATTAACAGGTGCATCATCAGGTCTACATTGAATATGGTCATACCAACTAAGTCTACTTCCTCTAATTTTAACATTTATAGGCACCATACCTAGTATTTCCCCCACACATTCATTATAAATCTTCTCTCTTCTAGTTAATCCTATTGTTCTTGTGTCTTTTTCAGCGCCCAACACTCCGATCCATATAATATAGCTGGTCTAATAACTGTTTTATAGAATTTTCCTTCTAATTTATTTGGTATTCTTTTGTCACAAAGGATACAACAAGCTTGCCTCCAATTTGTCCACCCTGCTCTAATCCTACTTACTACATCTCCATCTATCTCCCCTTCCTTTTGTATTATTGATCCTAGGTAACGAAAAAAGTTATTTCGAGTAAATCTTTGGTCTTAAATTGTAATACTTATATTGTCAACATTTATTACTTTATCAAATTTACATACCATATATTTTGTCTTAGTTTTACTAAATTTTAAGCCTTTTGCTTGTAATGTCTTTCTCCATATTTCTAAGTTTGTTGTTAAGGCTTCCTTAGAAGTATCTATTAAAACTAAGTCATCCACAAATAACATACACCATGGAATGTTTTCATCTTCTCATTATTTCTCTAAAACTAAAACAAACAGAATGGTGGGCCAAAATCAATTAAGTGCTAACTTATATACTAAGAGGGTCAAGGATGACAGATATTTCTGGACCATCTGATACTGCTCTCACTTGACAAGAAATCTCAATATCAGATGGTTCTAAATGCGTTCATACATATAGCTGTTTGGAATAGGCGATTATCTAGATGGGGATCCCCTAGTGGCAAGTCAGTCAACACACATGCCACATGCAGCATATAAGAGTGATAATGCTTGATAGACTTTTTTTCAGGTTTGAGGCGGACATACAACATAATAATATTTTATTCAAATTTTGCTTCAGTTATATGTAAAAAATATTTATGAAGGTCAATATTTTCATTTCCTCTGTTTTAAAAGGAGAAAGAGAAAAGCATGAGATGGATGTTATAAAATGATTTCTCTTAAGCACCTAAACAGCATGACACAAAGAGGTTAAGATACATTGAATCATAGTGAGGGGTTGCTGCCATCTAATGTCAGAAGCACCTTGTATAAATCTGGACGCCGATCTCGAAATACCCCCCAGCCATGTCTTTTGGATTTGATTTTAGCTAGATCAAATTCTGCTACAAGAACAGCTTCCTTTTTATCATCAGCAGCAGCAACAATTTCTCCGGAAGGTCCTGTTCATCAAAGTATGAACATCAAAACAAATCTATTAAGGGATAGAAATACATGCATATAATGATATGAACATACTATTGACTCTAACAAAACCAGTAACTTGATTGATGGAATACCTGCTATAAAGGAGTTGCCATAGAATGTGATCTCACTGTTTCCATGCTCTGTCGGGATTATCTCCTTCCCTATCCGGTTGCAAGCAACTAGAGGCACCTAAATATATTAAAAAATAAACGATTAGTGTCATATTGTGAAAATGTCACACTCTACGACAAGTCCGTAGCTGTAATCGCCCAAATTAACAACAGGGAACAAAGATTGCTTGGAAGCATGTCCATGTCTTTCATAATAATGTTTTGTTGCTAAATGAAAACTGGTAGATCATTGGTTGGACAAATATCGGCTCTAGGAAGCAAGTATATAAATAAAGCAGGCTGCAAATTATCCACTATACAAAAAGAATATGTAAATCGGGATCAGGACACGAATCCTAAGAATTAACCAAGTCAAAGGTTGAAATAAGATTCCCAGAATCTATAAATTACCAAATTAGCACCAGCATGCCCTTGCATCACTCGCTTCCAGTGATCACAAGAATCAAGTCCTTCATCTTGAGGTTCAGAGCCGATAGCAGTAGGGTAAAACAATATTTCTGCACCTTGAAGAACCATAGCTCGGGCTGCCTCTGGAAACCACTGATCCCAGCAAATTGCTGACAAAAAAGACAAAATATATGCTTAAGTTGCATTATTCTTCCCTATCTTCACCACCTCCGCATGTAAGATGATGAAACAACACAAGCTTTCGGTTATTCATGTCTTGCCAACATAATCACACTGCAATGATTAGACCCAATGCACAAACAAGAATTGCCAAGCAAGTCATCTAAATAATATTACAATTGCTATGCGCAAAAACAAGAATTGCCAAGCAAGTCATCTAAATAATATTACAATTGCTATGCGCAAAATATAAATAACAGTTCCTTGAAAATACAATTCAACAAAAATCTTACCAACTCCAATTTTTGCAAATTTAGTTTGGAACACCTGTTTACCAACACCAGCACAGTTATTATAAGTTCACTAGTCAAAGTAAATTTATTACCACCAAAGAATATATTTGAATTTTGGATCTTAATTATTTCATTCACCTTAAAGCCAGTGTCGCCTGGATTAAAGTAAAATTTTTCCTGGTAGCCTGAAGGTAAGAACAAGAAGTTTGTCATCAAACTAAATAGAACATATCAGAATCAAGTTAACATATCCCTTTGTTTCATAAACCTGGTCCATCTGGAATATGGGACTTTCTGTAGAGACCAAGATCAGTCCCATCAGCATCAATTATGGCTATTGAATTGTAGTGGGCATTATTTGCCTCTTCAAAGAAGCTAACTGGTATCACAACCCCCAACTCTTTTGCAAGTTTCTGCATCCTGCATGGCATGGACAGACATATAAATATGTTTTACTGGATTAAATTGTTTATCAAGTTGGTAGTGAAGACATCTTTTTGCTCCTAAGGTAATAGCTAGGTCCATTGCTTTACACAATGATAACAGCTCAGGCAGCCAAGCATGAAAATGCTGGTTCAAGTCCAAAGGCAGCCTCTTAGTGCAATGTGCCAAAGCTAGGTCAGTGCCCAATCCACCCCTCCCATACACCCTCATTTACTGGGGACCAAAACTTGGGTAATGACCCTTTTGCTTTGATAGGAAATGACCCCAGGCTCATTAGAACACAAGACAGAAGCATTTAATTAGCTAAACAAACTCCATAAGCCAATTACAATGTGCACAGCTACCTCAAAATAGTTGGGTGACCCTTATATGGCTTGGCCCGCTGAAAGAAATCCTCTCTTTGTGCTTGACAGAAGTAATAACCTTCAAATAGTTCCTGAACACACCCATGAGGGCAGAACAATAAATGCTTACAAAATGTATTTTTATAAGTAATAAATGCTTAACGATATCAAGATTCACAGAGGAATAAGTAAGTCAGGTAGCAATAATCACTAAGTGGATGAAGTAGATGGGACATTGAAGAGCACAATAAATGTTACTTGCAATGCAGATCTTTTCATCATGTGGAACAAAAAGGAGATGGAAAGAATGTCGTTAAACTTTGATGGCTATACGCAAGAATTTCTTCTTTTAAAAAGTACATGATTGTTGCAGTATAACACAATTAGAATCCACAAACTCCCTGTTCACTTGTGGAAATTCGCTGTATTGGAAAATATCATGTAAGAATATAGACCAAGTGCATCCTATAAAACCTGAGCTATTGATGTGTGTTATGGCACTTTCCTCGATCTTCAACTATGAATTGCTGTACTTTTAGATCTCAATTCTATATTTTTTGGGGTTTCATCATACGAAGAAAATTCAGAAAGCAAAGAGGGGAAAACATGTTTTGGATTGCTAAATTTAGTGTCCTGGAACAGAAGTACACGAGTTTTGGAACATGCATTTCAAAACACAATTCACTAGGATATCATCATTTTATAGTAGATCCAAGCAAAGTGCATACAGAAACTTCACTAAAAAAGATAGAAGAGCAAGCAAAAAGAAGAAAGACACTAAAACACCACCAAACTATTCACACAAGTCTCTTAGGATCTCTCGCATAACAGCAGCCTGAATTCGGCTTGAAGAGGAGACCTTCATGCCATATGTGCTGTAACTCTTAAAAAAAAAAAAAAAAAAAAAATCCTTCTTGTCCACCAATTCCAGGCTCCTCAATTTTCTAATTTGCAGAAAGGATAAATTATTTTGGAGCAAAAGTTTAAAAACAATCTTCAAGAATGGTAGAACTTCACAAGTACAGATAAGTTTAAAGTCATAATAAGCATAAAAATTCATACAGAAGGTACAATAAGTGTTGAAAAAATGTTCTAAAAGAAAAGTGGGCATGATGCGATAATTCTACAACAGCTTAAACAGTACATGTTCGAATTTTCAAGAGCAAAAACCTGAATAAGAATGATGTTAGCACCCTTCCCATGAGCAGCTCTAACCAGCCTGCATTAATTAGAATTATAAATGCTGGATACAGTGCCACAAAAACAAAATATCAAGAGAAATTCCCATCCCTATTAGTAGCAATTATTTAATAATTACCGACATGCCTAGTATATACTGATTTGTTGCCAACGAATTAAAATTCAATGTATTAGCCATTACTCATATTGATTCATCTACAATTATATAACAAAATCCAGTAGAAGCCACTAAAAACCACATAATTACGGGATGCTAGATGTGTTTTGGTCTGGTAGCAAAGCCTATAAAACGTCAATTTCATACAATCTACATGCAGAGAAAATTGTATATCATCTTATATAACAGATTATTCACTACAAGATCATTGTTTCTTTTTTGTTAATCTAGTGATAAATTACTTTGCTAATTCATTATCATCAGGGATATCCTATTTTAGGTTCATTATCATTAGGTATGTCCTATAGGTTAACTTTTCTTCTTCCTTTTTTTTTTTCCGTTAGGTAAAAATACTCTCACACACACCCACAAATGCCCCTCTATGGGGCTCGAACCCTCACCTCCACTTTGGGAGCCATGGGCCTAGTGGTTCCTATATTAGGATAACTTGATTCTTGCATAAATAAGTAATTCACAATCTTCAGACACCAAAAAATCAGTTCATAACAAAGGGAATAAGTGGTTTGTAGGTTAAGTCACTGTATGAGAAGTTGATAACTAAGCCTAAATCCCCTACTCTGACGAAGATAAATTATTGTTTTCGGTAGTGGATCAAAACCTTTATACAGGCTCATTCCAAAAAAAATAGAAATATAACCTCAATGACCAACAATGGGTACATTACAAGAAAAAAAAAAAAAAAAAAAATCATCTTATACTGAATTTTTTTTTGGATTCCACCACTAAGAATTCATTGTCAATCATACAGAGTAGAGCAGTTAAATAATATAAACGTTTAGATTACACAAAAGGATTTTGCGGAATTAGAACACAACATCAAATTCACAAACAGATGGGTTACTGAATTGTTATTGAATCAATAGCAAGACCCTAAATTTAATTGATAAGGACAAGTAAAGAAATGGGTGGTCTCACTTTTCTTTTGTTTGTTTGTTTGTTTGTTTTTTTATTTTTTATATCAGATTACATGAACTAATAAGTAAATAGACATAGAAATGGAAAAAGAAGAAGAAGAGGAAGATGAACCTTTCGGCTTTATCGACGTTAGTGGATACATCGTCGGTGCAAGCGAATTGCAGAGCTGAGACAACCACTTTCCTTCCCTCCATGCCCTCAAAATTCCAAAAGAGCGCTCACACACTATCAGTCTGTCTCACCACAAGCACAAACTTGACACGGGCTGCGCAACCGGATCAATAGGGGGTTTGTGTTGAGTAACTTTTTGTTGTAAAAAGCCGCCCTTTTATTTATTTATTTATTATTATTATTATTATTTTTTTTGTCATCTTACCAAAATTGAAAAGTTGTCCCCTTATATATTCACTTTCACTCCACCAAGTAAATGTTAATATCTTCTTTCCCATTTTACACCCACTATTTTTGCCCCCCCACCAAAGCTCAGTTCTTAGAATCACAATCTCTCCGTAAGAGGAGAAAGCTGGCTAGATTTTATTTGTTTTATTTTATGTGGCCACTTTGTGCGTACAAATGATATCAGTAGGTTATCACATCGGACGAGTTATTAATGCATAATTTTATATCATTTCGGTAGAGCAGGTGTTATATGTTGATTCAACATCTTTTTATGACAACCCATCAAAATTTCAAAGTTAAATCTACTCAACTTAGAGTAGTACCGGATGAGTGACCTTTAGAAGTCTATGATGCAGGCAAGCTAAAAATAAAAAAATATTGTTTCGAAATATGATGGGTTGTTACATTTTACCTAGCATTTCTCTTCTCTTTTTAAAGAAATATTTTGTTCCAAAATAATATTTTTTTTAAAAATTTGTAATTTTACGTTTTTTTTTTAATTCCTATCTTTGGTTTTGAAAAAATTTGCAGTTTCGTTCTATTCCTTTGGGAAACTCAATTTCAGTCGCTTGCCTAATAATTATGTTTATTTTATTTATTAATAATACACTCGTCTGTTCTGTTTTTTTATTATCTTATGTTATTATTAGTTATCCAAACCTACGTTTTAAGCTGTCATTGGACCCTTCTTCTGCGAGGCACGTGTTGGACAAGGAAGATGACACGTGCCCTACAAGGATGCCACGTGTAGCCCACGTGTTTACTTGACTTTAGTCCCCCACTACATATGGTGGTTTCTCCGACTCTGTAAAATACCCATTGCATGCTTTGAAGAAAGAAAGGTGAGCAGACCACTTTTTTCCGGTGAAGAGAATGGCCAGCTTTGAAGCAACACGTGAGGTGCATGTCAAGAAAAAGGAGCAACCACCACACCAAGCTCCGGCAGCCTCCGATCTGACACAGCCTGAGGAGGCTTTTGCTGACGGAGAATCCGACCCCAAACTTGACACCGGTTATCCGATGGATGCAGCTTCTAAACAACACAAGGTAATGTTTTCACCGTCCCATACTTGTCACTCGATGTGTAATATATATGAAAAATGCATATTCTAATATTTTAAATAAGAAAAATGATTCTCTCACCGTACTAGGTGTGTGAGTTGTGACCAAGGCTTGTGGTCTCGTGCCTTAATGGTATCCCATCCTCTTTTAGCTTAATCCCGATTATCTTATGAATTTAGAGCGAACCTTAGATGTCGTGGGCTAAAATTTGAGGTTTAGCTCGGATTTTAAAACATTTAAAAGTTCAAAACCTGAAATTAAAAGGATATTCAATTTTCTTAAGCAGAAACTTTAGGAATGCAGGTTCATTCATAGCGTGAAATAAGGTGTCAAATTGCAATTTTTGAGGTGATTGTTCACCATTAATAGCTTAATTGGACTCGGTTGTCTAGGAAAATCTAGATTTTAGGCTCAACTGGTTAAAACTAACCTAATTAGACTCGGATATCTAGAAAATCCTAGGTTAATTAACTGGTTAAAATTGGCCTGATTAGATTCAGATGTCTAGAAAAATCTAGGTATTAAGTTGAATTACTTAAAACTGACCTAATTTTAAGCCAAGGCTAGTCTAGAACGACCTTCGGTTGAAAGCAATCACAAAACTCAAAAATTATTGCTTTCAATCGTGTGCACAGCCCAAAATAGGATATGCATTCCTATGTGATGGATCTAGTAGGAATCTTTTTTTTTTTTTTTTTTTTTTTTTTTTGTGCAAGATCTAGTAGGAATCAGAATCCCTCCTCTGCGCCCCTCGAATCCTTCCTCGTGGGGGATTATGTGCCTTGGTCTTGTGATACATGTAGATTGTTAGTGCAACACAATATATTGTCATGTAACATATAAATAAAATTGTTGCTATTACATAAGCGGTATGTTGTTGAACAATGTAAAATTGTAGCATATGCAATGTGTTGTATAGACGATATAATGGGCTGATAAGTGGCACTGGAGGGGAGGGGATCCCGGTTCATCTAGAAGTGACCTAAGAGGTCATGTTGGATCTAGAGATATGACAATAACATAATTTACATTACTTGTGTTATTTCTTTCTTGAATAATTTTTAAAGCTCCTTTGAAATTATATATTGTAAAAGCTTTATAGAATACTTCTCCCTTTGAAAGGAAGGTCCATGGGATTAATTAGGAGTTCTTTAACTTATATTTAGACCTTTCAGCTAGAAAATTTAAAGAAGGGAAAAGGTTACTTTTAACAGTTTTCAACTTGTGGGTTCTTGTTTTGAAAAATTAAAGGAAAAAAGAAATTCTTGAGAAATATAACATATTCATTCTTGGGGTAGAGTGGTAGAAGATGGAGAAATACCGTAGACTTCTACTCTTATTGGTGTTATTATTTACTCGAGTCCGAATCATTTGCATTACAGCATAAGTGTTGTACTGCATCCAAGGGTCCTAATCACTCACATGTGTGCGCACACGGTCACATGTGTGTGTGATGTGGATCGTTGGATGCAGTACAACACTTGTGCTGCAGTGCACCTGATCTCAACTCCTTGATGCAATATTTCAAATTATGTTAAAATTGAAGCTTTTCTAGCATGAGCACTATCAATTTATTCAGGACACTGCACAAAAAGGTCCAACAGAATATCGGTGCTCATCTATGAAAGCTTCAACCTAAAAATAAAATAAAAAATAAAAAACGAAGTTATTACTGACACCATACATATGGCATGCTCGTCTGATTCTTTAACAATTAGTTTGACACCATACCTATGGCATGCTCATATACTTTCTTTAACAATTAGTTTGATCCCAAGTTACTAGTACGAATCACAAGCTTTACAATTATACTTTTGAATTTAATGTTAGGTTATTTCTTTTATTGTATTTTTTTCCCCTTCTTTTTGTTGAAGGAACAAGGCAAGGCTCCAAAGAAGGATGATAAAGATGATCATCAAACCCTCAAATCGGCAGTTATAATTTCTGGCATCGTTGTTGCAGTGATTGGAGCCATATTTGCCATTGTCAAGAAGTTGAAGGGAGCGTGATGCCATGTGCACATTTTAATTTGTGTGTGTGTGTGTGTGTGGTGTTTTTGAGGTATTTGTGGTATGGTATGCTGCAAAACTCGTTTACATTACAATGCTAGTTTTTTAAGTTAATTTAGATAATCACATTGAATAGATTGATCTGTCGTTCTGTCATAATGGTAATATTGCAACATGAATGGAAGGTAAATGACACACACAATGGTACTACTCTTTCAAAACAGTGATCTCTCTCCCAAAGAACTTGCATTGTGCAGAGGATGAGTAGAGTCGGGCATACAACGTTATTAACATGCTCACCCAATTGAAATGCACCATAAAACGAATTTTGTCCTACCTATGGACTAAAATTGCTCTTTAACAAACCAACATGATGCATTTTTATTGAGTAGACAAATCAATGACATGGAATACTCGTCTCATCCAATATGTACCCGTAGAGAAGGGCCATAGTGTATTGTGAATTTTCATATGTTGAATCTAAGATGATAATTCCAGGCTTTTTGTACTACTGTTACAACTCCAGGGTTCAAGTCTCCTCTCTACAGAGGATATGATGTGTGAGAAACATAGGACCAACGGAGCTTTGTTTCTTTTACCGTTAGTTTGTGCATGTGAGCACGCCCGCACATAAACAAAGATGAACTCATGACATGACAGCAGACTTCTCTCTTTGTGCCTGAATAATTTTGCTCAAAAATGTAAAATGAAAAACGATGGCGTGCGTGTGTACAAACATGCAAATCTTAAACACTAGTAGATCATGAAACACAGAGTTGGGATTGTGCCCTGGTACTCATTTATATTCCCCATTACTCACGAGTCAGAACCAAAAAATTGTCACGATAACAATAGATCTCCATGTTAAATAGTTCAGCTACCGTCTCTGATTTACCTGTTTTTCAAGTTTCCTGGTAAGCTCAAACAGCCTTTTCTTTGCTGTTAGGCGCTAGTAAAAATATCATCATTTGCCTATTCCATCCAAGGAATATTGCTGATCCACTAAACAATCAAAACCTTTTCCAAAAAAAGAACAGTAGAAACAAGTATATATAACAGTGAGGAAAACACAGCTCAAATCTGTGACTCAGTCGGTGGATAAAATTCTCGTATCTCCATCTAATATGGACAAAAAAAATATGATGCAACAACAATAGAATTTCATAAAAAAAGGGTCTGATTTATTTTTATCCGAGTAGCATCTGGAAACCCAGTTATGTAAGTGCAACTATTGACGACCTGTTCACCTGATCGTTCATTAGCATATTAGAAATCTCAATCCTGGACTTCTTCAGCCTTCTTCCCGCGTGATTGCAGGTACCATCCCAAAGCAGCAAAACCAGTCAACACACCACCAACAACTGCATAGTTTCGGTACTTGTCAGTTGAAGTTCCAGATGTTGAGGAGGAGGTGGGAGCACTTGGTTTAACATCAGATGTAGTCCCCCCTGAGCTTGCTGCTGGTTTTTCTTCTGGTTTAGGGCCCTGAAAGCAATCAAAAACAATCAACCACGACTTGCCGGGTTTTAATATAACAACTCAACCCACCTACGTACCAAGAAAATATAAGGCAGAAAGTGAAAACTAAACTTCTAAGCTTAAGTCAACAACACAAGCAAAATAGAGCCAACTTGATAAGTATGTTCTTTGCAACTCTTATAACCAAGAATAGTTAGGTAATTAACTTGAACAAATGTTATATATCAAATATGTTACTATAGCTGTAATATAACGTAAAATATATTATATGAACACAGTATCATAACTTAACGTGATACAGTAACCGCAGACTTGGTACTCTCAACCCAAAATTAGGCTAACTGCCATGGAGAAAGGGGGAGGACTGAAGACCACTTAATGACAATTCGCAAACACCAACCCCAAAAAGAGAGAGGAAAACATACCTTCCTGGCAAGCTTCTCCAACTTCTCTTGTTCAATTTTCTGCGACACATATAGTTTCAACAGTTAAAAGTTATCACAACAGACGTAATGAAAAAGCAGAAACACTTCACATGTACACATTCATATGGAGATATAACGAATGGAGACATATTATATATATAGAGAGAGAGAGAGCGAGGGAGTTATAAATAGTAATATGCAAGGTTTCCGAGGTGATAAATGCTGTGTCACTCACCTTGTTTTTTTCTCAAATCAATCACTGTGGTCATGTGGGGTGCAATGTTCAATACACATACCATACATTCTTCAGAAAATGAAACTGCGGCACATGTAATTTAAGAAAACTTAACAAGGTGCTACTTCTTTTCACTATCCCCTTCTGTTGGATATACCAATTTGGAAACTGTAGTTGTGATTTCTTAATCCACAACACATAAACCCATGACCCAACTGTAGACTTCTACTTCGGGGAAAAAATAATACTGCTATAGGATTAGCATATGGAAAAAAAATAATCCTACGTTGAAAGTATATAAATCACAGCTACAACTTTCTGTCATAAATTAATGTCTGCATGAAATTAAATTAACCAGACTCTTCCAAGATTTATTTGTTTAATGGCTAAGTCGATGACATTAACACATTAACAACTAATATCCAAGGGATCCTGATGCCCACTCCATTCTCCCCTACAAAGAGTAGAAATGTTACCAACTCAGTTTTTTTTTTTTTTTTCCTTCCCTTTTTTGGTCTTTTTATTGGAATGGTAGGGGTGGGAGCGCGCACACAGACCAAAAGTTTGATATTGTTGTTGCAAGTTGCAACCAGTGGATATACAATGTAAAATTTGACTGCAATTCAATTACTGGAAGTGCATAAAAACATAAGAAACATGATATCTGAACCAGACAGTAACATTACCATCATACCAACATTAGCGTCTAACAGTTCAAACTGAACATATATGCATCTTAGACGCTGATAAATAATCTTCTAGCAAAACGGCAATCTCTTCCCCCTTCCAAAATCATTACAGGGAAATAAAAGAACTTTGGTAATCAAAAAGTAATATTACCATCCATCGACATTAGCAAAATAAAATAGACATGTACGCCTTTTCTTTAACAAAATAGACTTGTATGCCATCCCTTTAACAAACACAAATATACTTGGAGCATGTAAATCCACCGTTAAATTGACATACATATTCTCTGTCAATATCAAAATACAAATAAACATACAAATGTAAGTACATGTATTAGGTTATTTTGGTAAATCAAAGTTGTGTTTCCCATGTGTTTCTTCATGTATTGGGAACTCTTTCAGGAGATACAGATGAACTGCTGGAAGAGCCCATACCTGAGAAACAAGTTCCCCAGTACTATAGATCTTTAAATTTTCAGCCACATTTACATATATATACACAATACTCTCCTATGCCTATTTATTAAGAAACAAACATGCCTACCACAATAAAACTTGGAAACATGCAGAACAGCACAGCTTTGCGTGACAAAGATCTTATTTGCAGTTTAGACAGGCACGGACCATAAGAACATTTATTATTTAGACTTTTAGATATAATGTGCTCAATATGAATTATACTACCAACCTTTTAAATGAAACTGAATAGAGAATGTATATAAAACAATAGACAAGAAATTAAAAATAGAAACACACAAATATTTGAATCTAATCAACTGGAGTTTCTACAACATTTAAAAAAAAAAAAATTACATCAGATAGCAACCAAATATAGCTGATCAGAATACTTATATTATATATATATATATATATATATATATATATATATATATATATATAGCTGACCAGAAACAAAGATAACACCTCACAGTTTCATAACCAGAATACGAATTTGGCACCGACATAAAACACGACTTGTGTGTTTTTGTAACTAACAAAAAGATATAATGTAATCTTGACACTTCTCACTTCAAATATGATTGAAATTGTAGAAAATTTTATTGTACCTCAATATCCATGAAATTGAAAATATTACTATGTCATTTTAACCTATGACTTCCTAAATACCAAACAATTAAAATTGCAAATCAAAGAAAAAAAGAAATGGAAGAACCATCTAAAGAAGACATCCATAAACACTAGGCAGATAAGTTCAAAACCGAGCAAAAAGAAAACAATGCAATATTTACCCAAAACCCAAGCTCGATATTAAAACAGTGATAACGTCATCCAGTTGGAATGAAATGAACAAAATTGCAAAGCAGAAATGCAATAACAACACTGACAAAAAGAGAATAACAGGAGAGTATATCAACGGAAAAACTTAGTGATTACCTTAATGTAGACATTTTCAGCAGCCTTTTCCTCCTCACTCAGTATTTTGCCACCACTTGAGAGCCTACGCGAGACATATCTGGCAGCAATCCTCGTTGCCATGGCAGTAGTACTTTCCCTTCAAAACACAATTCATCATTAAATTCCACCAACAGCTACTCACTTGACTCAATAACATATCCACAAGCAGAAATTCAATGTCATGCAAATCTCATACAATGATACAAAAACACCATAATTGGGAAAAAGCGCACTTCCCGAAATGTGGGAATTATCATTCTAAGCAAAAGCATTTCAATATTGCCAAAACATAAGCAGATCTAGCCCAGAACATAGGTGGGTCACCAATTCAAATTGCTGGCTTCTAAATACATATGTCGACAAATGCCACCACAGAGAAGTAGATTTTGGTGGCCACTACAACATTTACAAGTCCATGAAACCCTAAGTTGATACTATATTCTGAGACCATAAAACTTTTTTTAAAGCAAAGAAGCAGACTTAAGTGGTTTCAGCCTGAATAGGTGCACATAAACAATCAAAAAATTTGTAACGTCTTTGGCGGCTATTAAATAGCAAAGGAGGAAAATGACCCATTATTCTTCTACCAGTGTGGCTCATTCTTTTCGATGATATACGTGGTCGTCATGTTAGATGCATAGCCACAGTACTACAACTCCACCAATTTTCAAAGAGAAAACTTCAAATTTTCAAAAAGAAATAATACTAATAAAAATTAAATAAGGGAAATAGCAGAAGAAGGGGAAGGGAACTCTGTAATCTGATCAAATGTGCACTAATATATCTGCATATTTTAGCCAGAGATTCTGAATGGGAGGTGAGCGCTATTAGATGTCCAAAACTAGCAGAATTCATCCCCTTCAAAAGATTATATGCTCCACTTCAAGTAACTCGGTGGAGAAGAAAGACATAAACATGGAAATAGAGAGACTTCATCATGTTCTCTAATTGTTTCTCTCTATAATTAGTTTTCTAGTAGACTTCTTAAAAATTACAATAAAAACTTAGATTTTTTTAATAAAAAAATAAGTCCAGCTGCAAAAACAAAGTCTCATTCATCAAGATTAATGAAGCTAAAACTATAAATTTCTGGGACTAATAATATTTGAGACTCTTATTATCAACAAATATTGGCACGCAATAACTATCCAAGTTAAACATAAGAAAATGCGCCTCTGTATCGTACGTCTGGCTAACAACCAATAATGTTCTTGAAAATCTATTTGCTTCAAGAGACTTGATTTGGTAAATGGTCAAAAAATGAAAAACGATTTGCAGGATTAATTTATTTAACCAGATCAGTCGGTAGACATGATGACAGATCATTACAAATGAAAGCTTAATTTAAAAGGCACAAAAACTAGCCTATCCATGAATGTTCCATCTATTAAACAAAAGCACATAAATTTTCTGTTTAAAATACATCGCAACAATCCTCTTGTAAGGAGATTATTCCTTTGTACCATTTCTTTTATCATGTTTGTTCCTTCCTGAAGGATTTTTCTCCTTCAAAGTGCTGTTTTAGTAGCTCTCACTGAAGCTTTTGTCTCACACCTATGTCCCGGCCCTTCAGGCATGTGCAAGATATGTATAATTATTAATATTGGTAGCAAATGTCAAATACATGATAATGAAGAGATCTGCATCATCTCTCAGATATTAACGTGATGCCATTCTTCATAAATATTTCTTTCAGGATAAGTGAATAGTCATGACTTAGTTTATCACACATCATATTGGAAAATTAGACTTCATCCCAGAGCATTTGGGTAAAGTATACCAACTTTAACAAGGACAAATTAGATCATCAAAATTATAGTACTACATTTTCCTTGAGAGATTAAATGATTTATCAAATCCATCTTAAGTAGTGACTGGTACTGTTTCTTAACACACCATTTAAGGTTCATAAAACGTAGGAAGGAAATGAACACTGGTCATTCCAAGTTTTATTCCCTTTTCCTATGAGTTCTCCATAATCAAACAACACATTGAACAAGTTTCAGGTTTTCTACATTAGAACCGTGGTAAAATCTAGCAAAATCTCCACTGTTCAAAATATCTTTTAAACTCAATAAAAAAAATCTTTATAAATACAGCAATAACAGCAAGGAAATCCACACCAAAGGTTGATACACAGGTAAGTAATGTAAATACACATACATATGAGAAATAAATATAGATAGGAATTTACAAAGATGATGAATGCTTCTGTTGAATCAATAGGCTACATATAAGAACGAACCAAACCAATAAAATTCGAACAAAACTTTCAAAGAAACACATACATATGCAAAATATATGAATTGTTCCATAGATTGAGCTATTCACTTCATTAAAAGCACAAACTAAAATAGATGATAAAATAAATGTTATAGAAAATCTGCAAAAGGACTCAGAAAACTTGTACTCGTCAACAAGGAACAAAACTACTGCTGTATTACGAGCTTCATCAACAAATCACACACAAAATCAAATAGGAACGAACCAAATCACTAAAATTCAAACAAAACTTTAAAAGAAACACACGCATCTGCCTAAAATATGGACTGTTCCATAGATTGAGCTATTCACTTCATTAAAAGTACACAATAAAAGAAACGATACAAGAAATGTTAAAAGGAAATCTGCAGAAGGTCTCACAAAACTTGTACTAGTCAAAAAAGAGCAAAAACAGCTACTGTATTACGATTGAGGTCACTAATATGTATTCAAACCCTAATGTAGGACCAGCTAATAGCCATTCTATATATATACACAGATAAGCAAACCACTAAAATTCGAACAAACTTTTAAAGAAACACACATATGCATAATATATTGATTGTTCCATAGATTGAACAATTCTCTTCGTTAAAAGCACAAACTAAGAGAAACCATACAAGAAATGTTGAAGAAAATCTGTAAAAGCCCTCAGAAAACTTGAAATCGCCAACAAGAACACAAACAGCTACTGTATTACCATTAAGGTCACTAATATGTATACAAACCCTAATGTAGTAGGCATTCTGTATACTCATATGTATATATAAGCAGATATTAAATCGAAGAGGTTCAATTCAGCGAAAATGCTTACGAACGCTTGCAGGTGTAGAGAGAGTATGTCGTCTAGAGAGAGAATCTAGAGAGAGAAATTGAATAAGGAAATGGAATACGTTGCTTTCTATACAGGGTTTGGGGCTTTTAAATGCTCACTTTACCCAGAGCAGAAGGAAGCTACTAGTTGTTCGATTCGACAAATGGACCGATTCGGTTGCCTAAAACAAAATAACTTGTTAGGCCCAATCTATCGCCCAATCAAGCCCAACTTGTGAAGTAAGCCTACCTATTTAGCTTGAACAGCCCAGCCCTTAGTTCAGTATTGGGAACAAATTTGAAGCCCATTTATCACAATTTACACGTTTTTCAAGTGCCAACAAAGTGGGACATAAGCCCTCGAATTTTTTGGGCCTGCTATCAGAAATTTTTAGATGCTCGAAATTACACGGTTCTGAATTTTATGACCGATCACAACTTGACATATAAATAAATATATTAGGTTTGTTCGAATTTTTATTTGCATATTGTTGATATACGTGCCACGACATCTGCTCAAGTGGCACCATCTCTGAAAATAAGCACACCTGGCCAGTACTTATCAGGCGTGCTCCTGAAAGAACTAAGTATCCTCGAGCTACTCGTCCTATAACTGAATTTACTGACCGAGGAAGGGGTCGCTACCCTTCCTCTCCTGTAGAGGCGCCCCACTCCAGTCGGATGGGCCCCTCATCCCTTTTCTTTCCGAGGTTGCTTCCTACAGGCGTAACCTCGGGCATTTTTTTTACCTCGGGCATTTTTTTCTTCTCGAGCTCCTTTTTAACTGTAGGGACATCGAGATGCAGATCCATTTTTAACCCGCGGGGCCAAGAAGGCGGAACCCCGAGGAAGGCTCTTTCCCTATCTCCAGTTGCGGGAATCTGAGTGTTAATGGTTAGGTAGCTGAGTTCTAAGGAATCGCCTCACTTCGAGGTCTACACAAGGGGGAAAGAATGTTTAATACCCAATAACTGAGCTCGAGTAAAAGAGACCACATAATATATTAAAAATATATCTCACAGAATTACCATTGGATAATGAATGAGCTACCTTTGTTACCAAGGGTCCTTACCTAGGTAAAGCGACCATTGGATAAAAAGAGAGTTGGCTCTTATGACCAAGGGTCCTTACCTAAATGAAAGTAGTATAAATAAGGTTTAACTCTCACCATTTAGGGTGGTGAAAAAATACATATGCACAACTATAACCATAGAAAATGGTCCTCTGGGGCTCGAGCTACCATAGGGTGTTAAACAAATCTGCTATCTCTCTCTTAATCTGCTCTACGAAAAATCCCTTGTGCTAGCTTGGAGCTCCTCTCAGCATTCCTGACAGACGTGGAACGATCTCCTCATACCATCACGAACTACCATTAACATTTTAGCGACTCCGTTGGGGAGGAGCATTCCATCAATGTCGAGCTTGCATGAGATCGACCTTCTACCTCGCTCTAAACTCATACTCATCTTTATACTGAATAGTTAGTTACTATTGATGATCTTTATTATTCATATATCATCTTCATGGATCAGGTCTGATCAAGAACATAAAGTGTGTCTTATATGCATTGAATGCCTTTTCTAGTGTAGATTTATCTTAAAATATAACCCAAGTTCCTCACTTGAGTTGACGCTTTTCAAGAGTTAAAAAAAAAAAAAAAAAAAAAAAAAAAAAAAAAAATCAAACATTTTATTGCCAAACAATAGGTTTCCAACCAATTTCAAAGTTACAAACATCTTTACTATTGTAATGGGTCCTCTGAAAACTTGTTTAGCTACCCCCGGCATGGACAACTCATGTCCCCTCGTCCTTCAAACCTCACCATTACATGGGGTCGAGAGATACCCTCTCTTGTTCCTCGATGTGGTCCCCTTGCTCGGACCTATTTTGTTTCCTCGAATGGATATGTCATGATCTATTTAGTTTTGAAAGCCGAGGAGACCCACTTTAATTCCTTTGTTAACTTCAAACCCCCTGACTTTTCTCCAGTTGTTGTTAGGAATATTTTATAGAATATTTCATTGCCATATCCACCTACCCTATTATTCCGTTGACTTTCCACTATAAATTACAACCTATTACGCTTTATCTTTTTTAAGTCACTGACATTTGTTAACTCGCACAGCCATTTATGCATTCTTCACTGTATCCTTTTGCATAAGGAACTTTAATAATGGTACAAGTTTCATACTAAAACAGTTAACCCACTTTGATCATACTCTATTGTTTTTCACACGGTTACCATCAATCTTTCATTTCTTTGGTGTTCATGTACACTTTTATTAGTTATTATTATTATTATTATTTTATTTATTTATTTATTTTTACAAGCAACTTTATTTTTCATTTCACTGCCTACACTACAAAGTCTAAGAGCTTTAAACTACGATCTATGCTTATATATGTGTGTATATATGTATATATATCTATATATATTATAAAAAAAAACCGTAATCTTAAGATTTGTATATATACCATATATGCATGTGTTATATATATCTACAAATATATCAATATAATAATGATAGGGTGGTAGATATTTCAAAGGTATGATAATCCGATAGCATCATTACCCACTCTATTCTTACACTAGACTGAGTGTTTTTTTACTTTTTTCGGTGACAATGCGGTTCCAAAGGCCGACATAGTCACACCATGAGGTGACCAGGCAAGTTATTATACAATGTAATTGGTTATATCAAATGTTGTGCACACCTTATTCAAAGTTGATAGTCTTATAGTTATTGCATCCTTATAGTTACTATAGCGTAATAGTTTTTTTTTTTTTTTTTTAAATGTATAATAAATAAAAATAGAAGTGAAAATAAATTTCTTTCTTAATTTTATTATTGTTCTACAGCCTTTGCTATGGGATGAAACATTTTTTTTCCTTTTACCATTTATGCACCTGACTTTATTTGTTTTCAGTTTAACCGTTCCATTATTGTTAAGTCTAATTAGAATTCATCGTTAATATATATATATACTTAAGTATATATGTATGTATATATAATTACTCACTTGACTCTATATTTTAGTAGTAGCGATAGTACATGTCACTTATGTCTACAAGAGGACAAAGTCATAATCTTGAGCACATAAAAGATAACTTTTAATTAATTTATTTATTTGTGTATCATTATCACATCAAATCTTCTTTCTGATTGTTGTTTTCAAGGCACCATCAATTTTGTCAGCTTTGTTATTGAGTTATCACATCTTTGTCTTTTTAGTTTTTACATACTAACATTGCTTCAGTCAGAAACTTTATTCTGACTTCATCTTTAAGTCTATACTAAAGTGGGAGATAACATGCTATATGGAAATATATTATTACATTTAAATAATAATATTACAGTAATAAAATAAAATTAAAAAAAAACTCATCCTACAGTGACCCATTTCAGGTCAGCGTCCCTGGTAGTTACTCGGACACTTGCTCCATAGCTCGAGTGCTACTCCCGGGCAAAACTTTGTTGTGGCTTGAACATGAGTTATCAGTTGTGAATGTTGTCAATAATTCGACGACTCTTTCCATTTTTTTTTTATTATTCTTCTTTTTATTTCTTTCTAACCCTTTTTCCCCCCTCGCTCGGCACCATGTAGATCAACATGGTCATGAAACCATTTGAACCAACAAAGCAAACTTATTTATTTTCCTTGCTTCTGTCTACAAATAACAATGAACCTACCTAACACTGACTGCCACCCGACCACCCTTCTCGAGGTGAGATCTTGCACCGCACGTCCAACTAAACTTCTTGTAGCACCTCGAATAAACTGCATAGGGCAAAACAAAAAACCTCGCCCTACTCCTTTGAAGCTCGAATGTGTTACCTCTTTGAATCCGGCCTCAAATAAGTGTGCCTGCCAACTTTCTAAGAATACCTCCCAACTCCTTTCAAACTCGAGCCTAGAGTTTGGCATGTCTTCGAGCACGACACACCATCGATTCCCCTCAAAGAACCGCCGGTCAAATTATTTCAAACACAAGCTTTGTACATCTTCGTACCCTCAAACATTACCACCCACGTATATCGACCTCCAGCTAATTTATTGGGTAGCGGTCATTCACTTTTTGACCTTTGAATCTTCGAGCAATCACAACTTTTGGTGATCTTTTTCCAGAGCACTCACCTTAACTATCCCCTCTATATATGCATTCTAAATCGTCGCGGGAAGCGTCGTAACAAATCAAAAAAATACAATAGACCCCTCTAGAATTGAGTCTTAAAATGTTGGTCCATCCTTAATATGAACTAGGTAACCTACCCTTCGATTGAAATCTCTTTAAGCTAGCTTTCACCAATATATTAACCCCTATTTCGACCCATCAATTTCTGGAGACTTCTGCACGAGGTTGCTTGACCTTAAAAAAAATCTCTTCCTATAAAGGCTCGAGCAATGCTTCAGATTAACATTTTGTCGTAGCTCGAGTGCTATTTCATATCAACTTGTGCTGCTTGAGCACCGCGACTAGCACTTCCTAGAGAAGCTATTTCAAAAATAGTAATATATTTCTTTTTATAATCTTGTGAGCTTTATCAAAGAGGACTCTTTCTATCATATATATATATATATACATGTTATTTATTTTTTTACGATGATTCACCAACAGGTGACTCGACTTATTATAATTTTTTTAAGTGGTCTATTCACTTACTATCAACTTTTTATTAATTTAATTTTATTGATCTATTTTTGGTCACTTAAACTTGGAACCTTATATGTCTGCTACTTTATCTTCTAAGTAAACTCTTCACGAATTAGAGATGTGCCTCGTGCTATGCTCATGCTCAAGATATATTTCCAAGTCTTAGAGCTCCAGCCTCCACGAGCTCAATCCTTAACAAATTATTAGTGTTTGCCAAAACTTCGGGTTATCTAGATAATTTCCTTCTATAAGATCACTCTCACAAAATTTAATCTTCCAGTGAGCTCCCACCTCTCACCTCCACAAAAGTTGACCTCCTCAATGAGCTCCCTTCAATTAGCTCACCTTCACATAACTATTTTTCTTTACTTAAGATAATTTTATCCCTTTTGTCTGTTAGAAGTGTTGTGCCAACATTTCTACCAGACAAAGGGGAGCAAGGGACTAAGACCTATTCTGTGTTGTCCTTGAATGTTTTTTTTTTTTTC